GCTTCTTGTTGATTGCTTCTTGTTGATTGCTTCTTGTTGATTGCTTCTTGTTGATTGCTTCTTGTTGATTGCTTCTTGTTGATTGCTTCTTGTTGTTGCCGCTTGCAAGGATATCATTCTCCTTTTGTGCTTGCAATGACAAGGGAGGGGAGTGTTATGTCACAGAAGGTGCTTATTTGTACTTCTTGGGTAACATAGAAATAGTAGTAGTTCTCAAGGGACTGATTTCTGCTTGCAACAAAAAGGAGGGAGGACAAGAAGTCAAGAAGGAGGAAACTTTTGTTTCTCAGGACCAAACAAAATTGTTGTACTAGATTGCTTCTCAGTCAGCATGCTTCATATTTATGAGGACCAAGTTTATTTTCAAATCAAAATACTGCAGAAGAAGCTACAGAAAAGACTGGTATGATTATGTTATCAGATCAAAATAGAACCAATAACACATGCCGCAAGAATAAGTAGTACAAATTACATACTAGGGTTAAGGTCATTATTGAGTACTGATTCGCAATACAGTGCTGCCACCTTCGACTTCCACTGCGACCAAAGCAGCAGACCAATCAACAACAGCGGAGGATCGCACTTGAGTCGAATGAATCGCATGGAGACGAGAGGAACCGAACGGAAAATGACGAGGAGGCGGACAAACGGAGCTGTTTTTATTGTTCTTTTTGTTCTTAGTAGCAACTCTGCTAGAAAAGTACGAGTACGTCGCATCGCGTCGTACCACAGCGTATCGTACGTACTGTACATACGGCACGGTAGAGGTACCGCATTGTACAGCATTTTAATAAATTCAAAACTCTACCATACTCTTACGGTGGTGCAGTAGTACTATCTGGTGCTCGTATTCATGCTCGTAACTCGTGGTCGTACACAGGGGATTCCATCAAAAACGATTCAAACCATTTATTGCACAAAAACAAAAATCAGCCAGCACTCCAACAAACACCACAAAACACCACAAAACACAACACCACAAAACACAACACGACACAAAACACCACATCGGAAGAGTGACAAGCATGGCGATCCCTCACACCGTCGCGAATCTCGTGGATCGTGCCTCGAACTCCGCATCTTCTGTTGCCGCTACCGATCGGGCATCCGTAGCTCCCTTGTCTCCGGCACCGGTCGAGGCCGGCGGGGCCAGGATGCTGGCCTGCAGCAGCAGCGGCGGCGGTTCCGCTTCCCCGGGACCCTCGGTCCGGTCCCTCCAGGCCAAGCTGATCCAGGCGCGCAAGCGCAACGAGCTGCTGCAGAACATCGAGAAGGGAGTCGACGAGTACGGATATCCCCTGTGCGAGTTCCGAAAGGGATTCCTGGACCACTACAAGCCGAGGGGCATGGTAATTAGCGTGAGTCGAGTCGAGTCCAGTCGAGTCGTCTCTGGTCGTTTCGTTTGTGGGTTGCGATTGGCAATCGATGGATGCAAAAGGATTTTGTGTTCGGCCGATGCCCCACCGGGTTTTGACCTCTTTCCCGTTTGCCTTCTCTGAACCGCACCCCGAAATGCTTCTTGCTCAACAAACGCATCCGACGCTTCTTTTCGCTCGTTTCTTCCGTCGCTTCTGTTCTGTTGTTCCCTGGTGCCAACGGCATCGCATGGTGTGACATCGCAGACAATCCGCGTTGCGCTGCAGCAAAGCGTTACGATACTGGCTAATTTCATGGGGGAGCAGCTGGAACTGGATCTGAAGCGCAACCAGCGGGTCAACGAAGGACAAATCACGCAGATGGAGGCCGACCTCGAGGCAGACGAGTGGGAAAAGGTGGGTGTAGTTTCGTTCATTTTTATTCGATTCGACTCGACTCGACTCGATTGAAGTCAATTCCATAGTGGAATATTGTGCTGTGCTCTCTGGATCCAGTCGGCTGTGTCCTGCGCAATGCATATATTCGGTGCAGTGCTGCTCTATCAATACAGTATCGTCGCGATGATTGATGGTTTTAACCATCGCTGAAATCTGAACCGGAAGGCAACCGACGGGTCCGAATGTTGCGGTGCATTGCAACGACTTCCTCCGGGAGCGCTGCAGCTGCGCATTCGCATTCGTCATCCGCCTTTCTTGGATGACAAACTGTATGACTGAGCGATTTGAAAACACTGGACAGAGCAACACTGCATCACGGCCATCGCGCTCGAAACAAGTGCAATCGAAAAACGAAACGACAAACCTGTCCGTTGACGCAAGGCGCAATGATCGATGGTTTTTTACCATCGCTGAAATCTGAACGAAAGACAACCGGCGGGTCCGTCCAGGGACGAATTGAATTGAATTGAATCCAGGTATGCCCACTCCTTCTTTCTGGGACGTGGTGCGGCTTGGCAGTCTAGTTCGTTTTGTTCGTGCTCGCCAGCCTTCTTTTATGGATGCCAACTTGTACAACTGAGCGCAGCGTCGGCTGATAGCTTTCTCGTCTTCACATTCGCAATTCCATTCGTTACGGAGAGAATGGAAAAGAATAGGGCGAAGTTCCTGCAACAAATGCTTGTGAATTTGCCCCGGCTGCCAAATTTTGTCTCTAACCGGGTTTTTGTCTTGTACTGTACGTTGTGTTCCTTTTCCGATGGAAATGGCTGTATCAGCTCGAGTGGGACAAGCGTTGGACTACCTTCCCAAACAAGTTTGTCACCGCCCTTGTCAAGTACCATTCTGTGACCCTGATTCTTCGATTCTATGAGTATCTCGCTGCCAAATTAGTGGACATGCACAAACTCAACAAACTCACTGTGGATCCCTTTGCCATGGCGAGACGTATGTCCTCCAGGATCGAAGCGAAGAGCCCACCGGGCAAGACCGAAACCGTTCGCGACCACAAATTGTCCGTGACCGCTTCCATGACCACCACTACCCTCTGGGCAAACCTCCTCCCCTTTTGCGCCGATTATAGCCTCCACCAGGCCCTCTTGTGCTACGCGTATTTCCGATATTACAGCTACCAGCGCCAGCGGCGACTGCTCGCGGCGAGCCCTTCCTCGGAGGACGACGACGAGGACACGGCAAATGGTGCGTCGACTTTGATCACGGAAGACGACAGGGAGCTGGCCCGGGACCTCGGCCAAAAATCTCTCCGCCTCGCGACCAACCGTGGTGTCGGTCTGGTCTGTTCCGCGGTTGGAGCCGGGGTCGGAACCGTGGTCTGGCCCGGCTGGGGAACCATCGTCTTCTCGGCCCTCGGCGACGCCACCGGTGGAATGATCACGGACGACGGGTATTTCAAGGCCAAGCAGAGCCTCGAGGAAAAGCGGGCGAAGGACGAGGCCAGGGACGACAGTATCAGCCGGCAGGTGCAGTGATCGGTGATCGATGTGAAATTTGAAACGTGAACTGTGAATGGCAACAGGCCAGTGCATTTTGACACAACGAAGAAAAAGATGTCGGTTTGAGTGAGGGATATGGACGAGACGAAGGATTCACTTGCCAAGATTTTACTGTATTGAAAATGCGTTCAACACACGCGTACACTGATGTATACTAAGGATTTTAACCATACCTGTAGAAACGTATTTCTTTTGCATGTGATTGTTGGACTACTACCACCGCGTCGATAGGAAGACGATTCTGAACTGTTCTCCAGAAAGTGATCGGTTCGAGTCCTGCATATAGTGCTCTTGCACGTGCAGTCGAGTTGGGTGTTGCACAGGTAGTAGTATGAATTGATTACGAAGTATATAGTTCTACGCTGCGCAGCAACTCCCAAGATACATAATGACTTAAGTATTATTTTGGTCTAAGCGAGATCTTTTCAGTTTGTGGTGTGGTGAGATTGAGGCTTCGATACAGGTGGTGTTTTGCCTTTTGTTGTGGTCATTGTCCGTTCTTTGTTTCCTTAATGTTGCTCCAGTTGGTGAAATCTTTCGCCCGGCTCATCGCCATGGCAAACAGAGCCGCCCACGGCGAGCCCTCCAGTTCTTCAAGGATGCCGATATTGAGGGCAAACACAAGGTTGGCCTCGTCGACGATCTCCTGTTTTTGGGTTTCGGTCAGGTCGAGCGTGTTGAGCTCGGTGTACCAGCTCGTGATAAAATCCCGAACGGAATCCACCCCCTCGAAGGTGTAAAAGGCCACCCCGCTTCCGTCGCTCGGGAGGTCCATCGATCGGGAAGCCATGTTCCCCATCATCTGTCCGCCAAAGAGGTCACCAAGATAGCGGGTGTACTGGTGGGCCACGAACAAGTACGGCTCTTGGAGCGGCATTTGTTCCGGAGACAATTCGCCGTTGTCACCCGCGGTAGGGGACGAGGAAGCCGTGATTTCAAGGATGCGGTCCACATAGGTCTTGGTCGCCCCGGAAGGCGGGTCCATGGCAGTTCTCCATTCGGGACCGTAGAAATATTCCATGTCCTGCTCGAGTCCGGGGAGACGTCGCAGAGGAGCCTCGTCGAGCCGACCCACAACACTGTCCTTGTCGGCCTTGTCGAGGACATCTTCTTCCATGGCTCTATAGACATAGTAGAGACTCGTTAGGAGATTCCGGTACGAATCGGGGCTGCTGATCCCCTTGAAAAATCCCTGGACAAAAGCAGTGTTTTCAGCCATAGAATGGGATTTCCGGGTCCCGTCGTCGAGAGCAAGGGCCAACCCCGAAAGGCGAGGGTTTTTGTTTTCGTGGTCGGTCTCGGATGAAACAACAGGATCGACGGCGACCGCTCCCTGGCGGACCTCGGTGGCGCCGGCCGCAACAAAAGGGGCTCTGCCGTTGCGTGTAGCGCTGGCGGGTGGTTTGATAACAAAGCTCTTGGAGCCAACGAGGGCCGTGGCGACGAGTGCCAGGGAGAGAACGGCGGTAGACCTGCAAATCATTGACGTTTTGGGGTTTGTTAGCAGTGCTTTTCGGCTAAAACGTCCTGTAGGGTGGTACTTCTGTTCTACTGGATGCCAATCAATAGAATGGACAACAACAAACGAGAATCATCGTTGTCCAAGAACGCGGAAAAGGATACGGATGTGAAACTGAAGAACAACAACAACAGCAGAAGTGCGAGAGTAGTACGAGTACTCAGGCAAGCACTATGCCGTAGCAGAAGTAGAAGTATTTTTTAGCATCTTCTCAAACAAAATCTGACGATAATTGATGACTCAGAGAGAATTGTTGAGTCCCGTAAGTCGTCGTTTCAAAAGTTGTTGTAAAAACTACTGTACGTACCATATGCACCGTAGTAACGTATGAAATCGATTACAAGTAAGTACGAGTATTGTGTGGGTTGTGGGTAGTGGGTACGTACGAATCTCAATGTACGTTCGAGTACGTACCATACGTATGTCTAGTTCGTTCTGTGTTCGTGGTTCTACCGTACACCGTACGGCACCGTACGAGGAACGTACGGAACGTGCGCAAAAAGTTGAAAAAAATACCGGTAGGAGTACGTACGAACACAAACAAACTCGTCCTTCTTCCTGCGTACCGTACGATGGCTTCGTACTTCAATTACAGTACGAACCGTACGGTAGAGAACTACAAGAAAGTTTTCGAACAATCCTCGAAGAATATCGGAGGCAGTCAAGGTATCTGTCTTTCACCCACGACCATCGTTGGATTGACAATTACGGCACACAGATATATGATCGTAAAAGAGTAAACTGTTCCTGAGACGATGCGTGGTTTGTGTTTAGCCATTGCGGTGGTTGCAGCACCAGCAACGACGCGGGCATGGACTCTGTCCTCAAGTCACCCATTACGCAGCTATAGCCACAAATACGGTAGCCATAGCTATAGCTATAGCCAACTCTTCCTCTCCGCGGAAGAAACTGAAACATCAGAAATAGATGGAAGAGACAAGATGGCCACGGATCTTAGGCGCCTTTTCGACATCGACGAAATGGCGTACACCGTGATGATCCCGGAGGAACACAAGGGCCCCGACGGAAAACTCACGCCAGAGCAGCTCGTCGATGCCATCAAAAAGGACGGTATGTTCGGAGAGGAATTCGAGGAGTACTGCACAACCTTTTCCGATTCAGACGAAAACGAGGGCGTCGTAAGGGTATTGGACATCGGAAAATTTTCGGACGATTTCGAATCGAGCGCTCCGCTTCCGGAGGACTGCAACCTGACGATCCAGGGAAAGGGAAACTATTTGGTCCACATATCGCTCACGGATGAGATCTTCGCAACGATGCGTGTAGTGGTAGCGTAGCATCTGGATTCGCATTCGCATTCGCATTCAATCCGCATTCAGGCACTCGTGGCAACAAACAAAAAAATCTTAGCTCGGATAGGCTACCGGTATACAAATCGGAGGACACGGAAAAACGAACAAAAATGTGTCATTTGCAATTGAAAAAGTGACCCGTAAATCATTGTCGCTACACGCTATATGTCAGGTGCTATATGCAGAATCATTTGTATCTAATTTTTGGCGTGCATTCCATTGCCCTATCTTCGAGCTCAAGTAGACTGTAGTGCTACCGTAAGCCATTCTGGCACTAGACCTCGGAGTTAAACACATTTCTCCATATATCTTGATTCGTTTGCATGTTCGTCCGTTAGTTAGAACCAGGATATTGGTAGTCCATGACGATAATTTGATGGGTTTACATTGCTGTTACTCCGAGAGCTAACAAAAATGGTGTTGAATGCTGTTCACCTGTTCAATCAGTTGTGGTGAATCTTTATCATGATGAATCCTATTCCTAGCAGCGGTAGCAGCCCAAATACGTATTTGCTACTAATCACAGTAGCATTGCTGAGCAACACCAGTTGAGAAGGTGTATGTGAGTGCTTTCTTTGTGGAATGTTATCTGATGAGCATGTGAGGCACCAGTTCTGTTGCTGTTGTTGCTCATGACCTGCAAAATGTACGTGTGCTCTTTAGTGCCGTATATCTACGTGTTTACAATAAAGAGTGAGCTTATTCACTATCTACTCGTGATTTAGGCTCACAGTATCATCATTTCTACCCCTTGAAATCATAAACTAGAGGTGAATGTGAGGATTGTGAGGCTGCTAAATCCCGAGTAGCTAGTGAATAACCTCACTCCTCTTTTGTAAACCACGTATTAACACGCAGTAAGGACCATATTAACATTTGGATAAATACGCTTAAAAAAATACTTCTAGGTCTCTTAAAGCCTGTCTTAATTATGACCCTTTTGTATCGTACAAGTACGCGGTACGAAGGCAGGTAAGGTGGAGACAGGTCCGGAGTCAGTACAAATTGTACACGGCTCTACGCAGGGAACAATACATCTCAGCTTGATCCTGTCTCGCTTTGCAAAAAAAATCTGAAGGTCATAAATTCCAATGTACTATTCAGTTGTAGTACTCGTACTCGTACTCATTATCATACCGTAAAGTACCTTATCGACCCCTGCCGGACAATACATTCATGACATTTGAAACAACATCATGCTGGTTGTAATTTTATTGATTGCAACGTAATAGTCCGGGTAGAATCATTCGCATCAAGTCCCATCCGCTCAGTGGTCAAAAGAGAAAGAAGCTCATTGAGTCACTGACTTCGATATCATCCCAAGACATGCTTCGAATGAATGGACTGGATTGGATAAAATCGAATCGAATCAAATCAAATCAAATCAAATAGAATCATATTCACACCCATGGCATCGAAACGACGAGAACGCATCAACGCGTTTCTGCTGGTCATCTTTCTGTTCATAGCCGCAAACACAAGCTTCCTTTGTTACTATGTAACGAAGAAGGATGTCTCGGAGTGGGAGGGTCATCTTCACGAGAACATGAGGCTCCATTACCAACTGCGCGACGAACCAGAGCAAAAAAGTGTGCACCAGAAACCCTCACAGCCACTTACGAACGACACGGGAACGACCAGCCAGCATCATCAGGAGCAGCAACCACGACCACAACATCCACTTCTAAATTGCACCCGCTACKGTGGTCCCTATGATTTCAACTCGTTGGACGATATGGTCTACTGGAAAGAAATCCCAGAGGATGCAACCTATCAGTCCAAATTTCACAAGGATGGCGATGAAGAACGCTTTCTCACTATCGACACAGACCTTGGGGGCTTTAACAACCAGCGAATGGTATTTGAGATAAACATTGCTATGGCAATTGTCACGGGAAGAACCCTGGTCCTGCCTCGCGACCGAGTGGTTTCCCACATCCATACCGGGGACAAGTTTGCCATGAATTATTTTTTTGACCTTCAAAAGATTGCTTCCAGTTACCCCAAAGCCCTGAAACTCATGAGTACTGACGACTATATTGCTCAAGAAGGCAGACCAGAAAAGCTCGACATTCCGAGGGATTTCTATGGCTTTTCACTCAAGGCTGATAAAATCATCAACGATATCAAGGAGAACCGCACCAATCTGACCAGTAATTACTACAGTCACCATGACATTTTTATGGTGAATAATGCCGAAGAACTCCAATGTAATGTCTCCAAGCATGGGAAGGAATACTGTAGCAACTACACTGACTGGATTGACCTCCGGCATCGAGCAAAGCCCCGTAGATTCCACCAGTATTATTTAGATGAGTTTTTCCATGACCATCCAAAGGTGGTTTGCCCAAAGTGGGGCGCAAAAACTTGCGTTGCAACAATTCCAGCCTTCAACAACAACGACAACAATCACATCAATAATGCAACTGCCAACAAACGCAACAACAACATTAACAACAGCCCTGATCGATTCAAAGCCTGGACGAAGGACTTGAAGAGCGAAGACTATTGGAAACGCCACAACAAGTATGTTCGTAATCCTCCCCTTGTGAATGACCCACCAGAGAAGCGTCTCCCTGAGCTCTACCAGAAGCGAACCAGCCTCTGTGTCTATGACCAAAAGATGCAGCAAAGCAAATACTATCATATGCGGGACACAGCAGATCAGGAGTCTAGGTCTAGGCTTCTTGGCCACTGGTATGACTACATTTTTTTTGAAGACTGGAAAGAAGACTTGTGGATGAAGCGCTTCATGAGGGACAAGCTCAAGTACAATGACCTGCTCCAGTGTACGGCAGCCAAGATTGTTGCTGACATTCGCAAAACATCCAAAACTCTATACAATCACTCTGATGGCCAGTTTCACTCAATGCATGTCCGGAGGACAGACCTCACAACACTTTACAAGGATTATGATATTGACCGGAATGCCTCGGATATCTACAACGACTTTTTAGAGCGCGACGTAGTCCCGAAAGATAGTGTTGTGTTTGTGGCCACTGATGAAGCTGACAAGCACTGGTTTGATGTATTTAGGGAAAACTACCAGAGGGTGTATTTTCTGGATGACTTTGTGGAGGACTATTTGAAAGATATTCCAAAGGAATACTATGGCATGATTGACCAGCTGGTGGCCTCAAGAGGAGAGCACTTTGTTGGCACATACTACTCAACCTTTACTGGCTATATCAACCGCCTGCGGGGCTACCACTCGCAGAAGCACTACAATCCAAACCTAGTCAACTCATTGAAAAAGCCCCCCAGAGAAGCCAAGGGGATTATTCCAAGCTGGTTCTACTCTCCAAAGAAAGTGATTGATTGGTATCAGCAATATGCACCGGTGGGTTCAACCTTCTTTGAAATGGAGTATCCCCTCGCCTGGAGGAATATCGATTTCGGCGTCGGCATCGGCGCCGATTCCCTTGCCTAGAAGAGAACCCAATGCAATTCGACGGAAACGGAGAGAAATTCACTTCGGTTGCGACGCCAATCTTACAGCTTAGGAAGAACTGAACAAACGATACGATACGATACGATACAATACGAATCGATGCGATGCGATACAATACGAAGCCACCACCATCACCACCAATTTCATGGAACCGAGCCAACGAAACAAATCTCGATGCGGTACAATCGTTACCTATTTTGGATGTCGAATGAAGCACCATCCGCTTGTTTGTGATCCCCTGGCCGAGAGTTGGAAAGGATCGTAATACAAAGCACAGGGACAACCCTTCCCAAGTGAACTCACCACGAAGCTAGTAGGTTTGGTATCCGATCGAGCGAAACCGCACCTTCGACATGGTTTTGATTGCTTGCTATGGAAAGTCAGTAATTCACGGATACTCCAGACGGCAATAGATATTGCACAACCTTTTGGTTCTCTTTTTCGTTTCGAATCCCCGATCGTTCTCGAACGTGTAAGCGATACAGAATATACCACCGACTAACGAACCAACCAGCATACCTTCCGGTCCAACCAGAATGGAATTGTGTCTGGGTGCGAGTCGACGTAGCGGGAGGTGAAGCAGTCGGAAAACTTCTTGACATGGATTAAAAACACAACATCGCCATTTGGCCTTGCGGCAGAATTTTTATTTTCAGCAAACAGGAAGTATTCGACAACGTACATCGCGATAAATTTCTGAGCCTTTTTCGGGTGTATTGAAAGTATTACTTGTACTAGTAACTATTGCTAGCAGCAGAACTATGGTGCACACAGTATTACAATTTGAGAATTGAAAAGCTAAGAAGTATTACTACTATAAGTGACAATAAGGCAACTATGGCGTACTGCTGATAGTTAAAGTCCTGCAAGTACTTTACTACTAGTAGTGCTAGACGCAAATGGTGCACTGATTACTGGACGATTATTGTTCTTTGGAATAGGAACTAGATGAAAATCGTGACTGAAAACTTGTACGTGACTAATGACGTCATCGGATGAATTCTTCATTCACGAAGTCAACCCTTTGACACGAGGAAAACAAGAACGTCGTTGAGCAGCGCTGATCGAAGAAAGAACGAAACGGAAACGTCTCACATCCACGCAATGCAACGATGGTTCTCTCCGTCTTCCAATCGATCGGTCGATATCGCCGTCTGCTGGTCGGTTTATTGGCGACAGCGTCTTCCTCTTCGACCAAGCAGAAATCTCGGTCTCCGAAACTTTTCACCTACCAACGAAGGCTGCCGCCTCTGGAAAGACTCCCGGCTGTTTCTGCTTCTGTTTCCCCCGTTTCCGACCAGACCGGAAAGACGAAACAAGTGCTGCCACCTCCACCAAACGCATCCTATGCCAACTCCATCGGCGTCGTCTACACCAACGACGTCGACGTTGCCTTTCGGTGGGCCCAGAAACACCTCTGGAGCGACACCGAGGCTCCGAAGATCCTTGGCTGGGACATGGAATCCTCGCCACGCCTGCCCTGGCGCGAATCGAGTTACGGAAGCGACACACACTTCGGCCCCGCAACGATCCAGCTGAGCACCCCCACCGATTCCATGGTCTTTCAGATCGCCCAGGACGGGTTCGGTCCGATCCACGAAACGACGGGACTTCCGGGGTTTCTCCACGACATTCTAGACGACCCGAACCTCATCAAGACGGGGGTTGGAATCGACGAGGACATGGTCGAGCTCTACCGCTGGTGCCGCGGCATCGGGGTCGAAGAAGAGCGACTCTCCTGGGCGACGCGCGGGGGCGTCGACACCGGCGTCGCGGACCGGCCCGTGGAGCCACCCCTGCGCCGGTTCGATCTCGGTGGAATCGGTTCCAGCAAGCCGGGGGGCACGATCGGGCTGGCCCGGCTAGTGGCCGGGATCCTGGGCGTCGGCATTCCCAAGTCCAGCAAGCTGGCCCGGAGCCACTGGTCCGCGGCCCCCCTCCGGGCAAGGGAGGTGGACTACGCCGCCCGCGATGCCTGGGCCGCGGCCGCTGTTCTGCACCGCCTCTGCGAGCTCGATCCGTCCCGGTTTTCTCCGATCTCGATCCTGCAGAGGCTGGCCGAGCTCGAGGGGAGCAAAGGCACGAAGAACAGGATCCGACCCATCGGCGAGGTCTCCGACCGCGCGGTCCAGAGGAAGGCCGTTAAGCTGGAATGGAAGGCACTGAAGCCGCCGCGGCGGCGGAACGAAGACGGGATCGAGGTTCCGCAAACGACCACAGAGGCAGACACCGAGCGGCTCGGGATTCTGGCGGAACAGATGAAGGCCCTGGCCCCGATGCAACCCATTCCGTACGAGATTGAGGAATCGCTGGGGGTGAAAATACCCTGAGTTTCGCCGGGCCGGTGGTGCCGAACCAACGAACGAACGAACGAAGAATGCGTGCATTTCGTGTGGAGGAGATGGGAGAAAAGAGATCCACGGCAGGCATTATGGACCAACTCTTTCGAATCGAACAGGCTGAATGGGAAGAAAGCACTAATGAATCGTGCTCAAGGCTGGTGTAAAGAAGCATGCTAGCCTCAAAGACTGGGCCTTCACACGACTATGGCTTAAAAAAAGAGAAAAAAGTCTTTTATAATACTACTGTACTACGCGTAGGAAGGGAAGTTCAAATGAGTTTTTCAGTTGTAATTACACAAGAGATGACCACTCATCAAGGTTTGCAAACTTTGTGATAAATATTACTAGTACGCACTCCTTTTCCTTGTAGCCTTGTTCCAGTTGCGAGCTGGAGCAAATGATCCCACAGTAGTATTAATCGGGAAAGGACGATTCCTTCGACTGCTCGTGAATCGTGTTGTACTCAACCAAATTAGTTTTTCTCAGTTGACGTGCAGAGGTAAGCATTGACACTCATCTACTAGTACGCTGCTCTCCTTTTGAACCTGAGTAATAGGCTCAAGTACAAATCCTACCCAGCAAAAATGTACAAGTACTGTGACTATTTACATCCTCACGAGAATCAAGGAGTCCTGAAGAAGATGTTCCAATTCATCCTGAATTCTGTTCCAGATCAATTGAATCAGAGAGCAGGTCAAGGTTCATGAGTTCTTGAATTTTGTCAAACAAAGAAGCATCGTACTAGTACTAGTAGTACAAGTGGTGGTAGTACTACTACTACTACTAGTAAGAAGGGGCATCAGATAGACTTCCAAGAGAGCCTTTAGTATCACCACTTGAAACACTGCTGTCAACTTGGGGCCACTGCTATCATTGTTAGATAGGTTTGCATCACTGCCATACAAATAATCATCATCACCAATGCCCATCACCAGAAAAAGAATCATCGTCATCATAGTACATCTTCAGCATCATCATGGTGGCGGTGATGGTATGTTCTTGGTAACAAATATGATGATGTGTTTTGTGATAGCTAGTATATACTCCGGTTTGGAGTGTTTTTTGCTTTCTTGTTTGGATGTTCTGAGGAGAGAAATGAATGAGCAGAAAACAGGTTTTATTTGTGCCAAACTGTTTTAGTCTTATTTCGTGTAGGATTAGTATTTTCACTCTTGGGAAGAAAGTATGGAAACTGTTCACAGAAACTCGGAGAAAAAACATGCCAAAATGCACGATTTGGGCGGAAACGAGAAAAAGTGAAACAATGATTCCTACGGTACGAGTACCTAACGTTCCGTACGTACGATACGAAGAAGATACAAAAATAAAAAATGACTTTCCGTTGAAAATACCTGTTCTGTACAAAGAAACAACGTACATTACTGTACAGTAGGTAGATGCGTACAGTAGCATACTGTATGAGAAACGTGGAAAGCCTTAGGTTATGAACGTACAAGTACGACGTCTATTTTCTTCTGCAATACAGTACATACATTATGTACGAGTATACGAGTACGAGTGAAAAGTATCGTATCCTATCCTATCCTACTGTACCTGTAGGTCGTAACGATATGTTAGCGCAAGAACACAAATAATAGAGCAAGCAATTGCAATTACCAAAACTCCTCAGCGGATTCCCTAACAGTCACAAAACCAACACCACAGCTTGTTGCAAACAAAGATAGCCCTTGTTATTTCACCAAGCACAGCCAGGTACATTTCGGAACAACAATACAACAAAGGTGAATCGACACCCAGACCAGACAGAACACGATGGGCGGCAACAAATTCCAGGACATCTTCAAAAACTTGGAGAAAAAAGCTGAACAGCTGATGGACTCCGACAGCGAGGCCGACGACGAGATCCTGAAGGAGATCCGCAAGAACAATCCCCAGACGATTGCCGATGGCGAGGATTACGAGTGTACCTTTCAGAGTTCCGTGAATCCCACGCGATGGGAAAAGGCCGTCGTCGCTCTGCACGGAATGGTCAAGCAGGTCAGCAAGGTGGACCCTGACGGAATGGACATAGTCTGCTTCGGAGGCTCCGAGGACAAGCGTGGCAAGATCAGTCTTTACCGGAAGGTCAAGAACATCAAGGACATCGAGGCGATGGTCACCTCGAAGCTCCCCAGCGGCCCGTGCCACATGGGAAGGGCCATGGATTTCGTCCTAAAGGAAGCCTTCGATCGGGGCTTCGAACGACCCTGCGGGATTCTCGTCTTGACGGCCGGCATCCCCGACGACAGCGAACGCCTCGAAAAGACCCTGCAGGTCGCGGCGGAGAAGATCGCTGCGAAGGGCTACAAGGAATCGCCCCTTAGCGTCACCTTTGTCCACGTCGGAGACGACAAGGAGGCCGAGGACTACATGCAGCACCTAGACAAGAACATGAAGAGCCACAAAAAGTCGAGAAAGACAAGAAAGGTCGTCGACATTGTCGATTGCATCAAGGACAGTGAAATCAAGGCGGCCATGGCCGAGATCAAGGGCACCAAATCGAGCGGGACCACCGGGGCCATCGTTGGGGCCTTTGCCGGGGCTGCCATGGGCGTTGGAGGTATGTACATGTACAACAAGAACCAGGCCAAGAAGCGCACGGAAGGCTGGAACGGACACTGGAGGGCAACCTACGGCGGCTGCGAGATCGCCACGCTCAAGGTCAAGGACGATCTCAAGGGAAATCTCAAGATCGAGGGATTTTCCGGTGGCAAGACGGTGGGAAAGTACGCCGAGCGGCAGTACGGGTACAACATTACCTTTCGGGACGCAGACGAGGGGTGGAAGATCACGGGAGACATCGAGGACGAGCACAACATCTTTTGGAGCGACGGGACCAAGTGGGAGGAGATTCCGCACAAGGGGGCCAAATTCGGCCACTACGCCGGTGCGGCCGCAGCGGGGGCAGCCACCGGCGGTGCCGTGGGATACCTGCTGGACAAGAAATTCTTCAAAAAGGCCCACAAGAAGGACCAGGCGGATTACGTCATTCTGGTCGACCGCAGCAAGCAGATGGCGGTCAAGGATCGATCCGCGCTGACGCTGAGCGGAACGGACGACGAGTACGATTTCGTGGAGGAGTACAAACCGGATGTCGCGGAAACAGAGGAAGACGACAGCGGAGGCGACGGCGACGGTGGCCTGATCTCGACCGCCACCAAGAAATTCGAGGGCCTGAGCACGGAACAAAAGGTGGCCGTCGGCGTGGCCGGTGCGGCAGCCGTTGCCGGGGTGGCCGCGGCGGGGGTCGGAGTGGCCCACGCGGTCAAGGCCCACAAGAGCAAAAACGACGGCGACGACGGCGCTCCGGTGGTCCAGGCCCGTGCCGTTGGCGCCTCCGGAAGCGTCCCTGGCCGTGCTCCCGCCGGGGTGAACCAGGGACTGACCGGGAGGTGGCGGGCTACCTTCGAGGGGGACGAGCTGGCATCGCTCGTGGTGAAAGACGACCTGGACGGGATCCTGACCATTTCGGGCTTTTTTGCCGGGAAGACCATCGGCAGGTACACCCGCAACAGCGTCCAGCGCATCGTCAAGATCCACTTTATCGACGCCGACGAGAACTGGGCCGTCCACGGCGAGGTCAAGGGAGGAGACAGCGAGAGCGTCATCATATGGAAGGATGGAACCCGCTGGGACAAGATTTTCTAGGGTTCGATCTCGGATCGGATCGGATGGGATGGGATGGGATGCATACTGATTTGATTGTTTTGAATGAGTTACTGTTTTTCCGATGACCAAAAGCCCATCCCGTTATCGCAAGTTTCTCGGGTCCATGGTGGTAGATCCCAGCCCGCTCCCCCCCCCCCCCCCCCACAAACGCAAACACAACCTGAGTTCAAGGGTAGAACAAGTGCGTAGTCATTCCTTGTATTGAAACAGAGGCTGCGGAGTATCTTAGCCTGCATTTCAAGTTTTCACTAGATAGAGAGCCGTCATGTATTAGTCAACAGTAAAAAATAACGGAGTCAGTATGTAGTTCTTCCTCCGTTCCCAAAGAAATGTCTATTTCGCACCTTTGCTACTGAAATAAGTCTGGGTGATTGGAATGCTTCTTTTTTTGCGTAACAGATCTATTCTATTTATGTTCTATCGGAGGAACTACGTACCGGTAGTGTCTAAAATCGAAAACTCCATCGTTATACTCGTACTAGTTCTACATACGAGTAATAGGGTACTATGGACATCGACACATACTACGTACAACACAAACATACCGAACAGAAAAAGCTTCGTACGAACCGTACGGTAGAAGTGAAGTAAGAGAACTGTACTAAGTAGAACGAAACTTGTGAAGAATAATACATAGTAGTACAGTAATATCGTTTCATACAATCATCATTCGAAACACTCAGCCTGTAACCCATCTCGCATTACTCGTACGCACAGAATAATAATAATGTACTTATGATATCCGCAATAAGTACACGACGACACCGCACGACACCACACGACAAGACGGGATAAGACACACATGGTATTTTATCCGGTGCTTTCTCCGTCGCCCGTGGAGAAGGCGTTTTGTTTCGTTACGTTGCAGCAGCAGGATGCGATCCAGATCCAGATCCAGGTCGGTGGGAGGGGGATCAGAAATATTGACAGCCAAGGATTTCGCGACCCGACAGACGAGGAGGAGGAGGGAAGCGACGGAAACCTCCCCCCCTTTTGGCTCAGCCCACCGGAATGGTCCCTCTTGAAGAGCGCCGAGGAAAACCCACTCGAGTATACACTTGCGGAGCGCGATGAAGCCGTCTCGTACCTCCGGCTTCTGCTCAAGATGCTGGGCCAGGTGACCGGAGGAAGCACAAGCAGAGACAACGCAAAGCCAAATACAGTTGCAGACGCAACTGCGGGATCGAACGAGGACAGCGGGATCGCCACTCTGGAAAGCCCGCCCCTGGAAACCCAAGACGAAGCTCTCGATTTCTACTACCGGTCAACCAAGCAGCACAAAAAACTGGTCGTATCCCATTACTGCGTGGATAAACTCTTTGAAATCATTGCCGTCTCTCTGGACAATGCAAGCAATGGTATTCCGAGCCTGTCTAAATTGTTTCATGGGGTCGATGAAAACGAAATCCAAAAGATGAACGAAATCCAAAAGATAATCGAAAGCTGCCACGCGAACTCAGCTAGATCCAACAATCTAGATATCGACGAATGGAGAATGCTGGTACCGCTGCTCTACAACCGATCCGTAGATGAATACACAAAACGTGGAGCAGCGCTGATCCTTTCCTACATTCTCAAAACTGGATGCGAGCGAATCGAGCTATTGAGATCCTGCAATGCAAGTCACGACAACAGGAAAAAAAACAATAGCAACAACAACAACAACAAGCCATCAACCTGGCAGGAAACCGACGTCGACTTTTTGAACCTCTTGTCATTTCCAGACGAGCACAAAGCGGCGACCTTTTCGAAATCAAACAGCCCAGAGGAAGAGTTGACCACCGTTCTCGACCAGACCAACCTACAGAGAGCTATTGATGAGTCGCTAGGGTCCTTTGTGTCTTGGCTGACGGGACGGCTGCAGTGCTCTGACCATTATCTATCGCTCGGCGTCGTGACGCCCACCCTAGGCGTTCTGCTATCGGGCACTAAGCGTGCACGGACTGCCTTTCACCAAGCGGGAGGCATCGGATACCTTGTCCGGCACCTCAAGGCCAAGCGCACGACAAGGACACCGAGCAAGTGGAGCGGAGGAGAAGACGACTGGTTCCGCCGTCCTGCCACGAAAGTAGGCCCCGCAGCAAACTCGACATCACCGGGATCTCTCACGGCAAGGACGATTTTGGCTTTTTCCAAACCAAAATCCTCCCCCCCGCACAGCCAGCTCCCGGCGTCTCCGGAGCGCAAGCGGGGGAACGTGCGATCTCGAAAAACGAATCCATCCACGTCGACGTCGCTCTCTATCAATGCGTACTCGCACAGCGATTCCTTCTCGGTGAGCAGCAGCTTTTCTTCGACAAATTCGAACTCGATTTTTAACCACCTCGGCTCACCGTCCTCCCCCGGGGCGACGGAGTCAGAAACGCACCATACAGAGGCCCTGGTGGAGAGCGACACCAACCACACACACCTTCAAGGTTTTATTTCCAGGGCAGGCGAGGCCCTTTCGGGTCCGTCGGTCCTGGCCGCCACTCTCGCCGCCACATCGACCATCGCAGCGTCCTCGTCGCTTCTGTCGCCGGCGCAAGCTTTGCAGCTGCCACACCCCGATCGAATTTCACGAAAGCGGCCAGTGTCGTCCTCCTCGGTGCAGCAAGTTTACGACCTGGTCTTTTGCCTGTGGTGCATGTCTATGGATTGCCAAACTGACGAGAGCGTTGCGAACCACTTTGCCCGCGACGGGGCAGTCTCGGCACTGGCACATCTCCTCAAGACGGCACCGCGCGAAAAGGTCCTGCGGCTGACCCTGGCCTGCCTCCGCTCCCTGACCACTCTCCCTGCGAGCCACAGCAGAGTTGGTGGTGACAAGACCAGCGACATCGACGCGAACTCATTTGTTCGTGAGATGATTGGCTGTGGTGTGCTCAAATCCCTCGACACGGTTCGGCTTAGGCGCTGGAACGACGAAGATCTGGAGGACGACCTAGAGTTCTTGCACGGATTTCTTTCCGACCGCACCGAGCAACTATCCCAATTCCACGTCTACGAGGCTGAGGTCGAGACCGGTGCCCTGAGGTGGGACGATCGGTTTCACACGAAAGATTTTTTCCGGCGGAACGTGGGACAGATGGAGGGCCGAGATGGACGCTTTGGTGTCGTGAAAAGCCTAGTGCAGATCCTATACGCGAGCACCAAGAGCGGTCGCCTTCGCAGCAGCGGGGGTACCGTCGTGTATGCCGGTCTGAACGAGGTGGGGGGAGATTCATGGGGCGAGGACGACATTTCAGACGACGAGGTCTGCGAGTGCCTTGCGGTGTGCCTGTTCGATCTGGGGGAGTTCGTTCGGCACTACCCCAACGGCAAGCACGTCTTGGATAAGGTGCTCGGGGCCAAGCCGCTGGTCATGTGCTACGTAAACCATCCCCGGTGGGAGGTCCGGGAGCAGGCCCTGCTTTGTGCCTCAAAAATCCTGGTGAACAACTGGAGGGTGCGTAATTTGCAGGAAGCCAGCGACTATACCATCGCATTGTTTGTTTCTGGTGGAATACTCGTACTCACAAACTCGATTTTTTTTCGCTCAGTCAATCGAAATCTAAGTGGTTTGTTCTTGTCATGTGAAAGTTGAGTGGATACCCCCGGACAGGCTGACAAAGTTTTGAAGAAAGCACGATGGGAAAGAATCTCGCGCTGGAATAGAAATCTGCAACCGCCATCCAATCTCTTTCTATTTATTGCACAACTTTTTTGTTTTACAAATTCTCTAGAATCGAAACATCATCTGCATCAGCAGACCATTTTTGTGGGCAGAGCTTTGATGTACACGCAACCTTATCAGACCGGCGATCCCGCCGTTCGTAAAAGCACTGTGATTTACTGTAATTCGTTTCGTTACTCCAACCAACGTTCTGCAAGTCAAGAGAGGCAAACACTTGCAGCAAGAAATAGCATAAGAAAATTATGGACTGCTCATCTGGAAACTAGTAAGAGTTGTGTAGTAGTAGTAGCAGTAGCAGTAGCAGCAGTAATAGTAGGTTTTGTGGTTGACATCTATCCAACTCCTTGCATCCAAGCAGATGTGTGGAGCACCATGGCCAAATATATTGTTCTTTGGGATTTGTCGATCAATCAAAAATTTAGGCATATTTATAGCGGTGATGGAAGGAAAATAGTTGACGCTTGTCTCATTAGCTAAGTGATAACGAGTATTTTGCTAGAATTAGAATCGTGAAATCATTAGTGTTGTGTTTGAACGTTCCTCACTATGAAACCCGCCACGATTGCAAATGCTTGTTGGCTAATTTTCTTTCTTCTATTGGCTCGTTCGTTTTATTGTGTGGTGTGACTTGACGTGCTGTGATGTGTTTTGTGACGTAGTTTGTGTTAGGGTCTTCGTCCTCAGAGTGACAGATGTTGATGTTTCTTGTTGATGTGGTTTGTTATTTGAACCACTTGCTGAAATGGCGGCGAGGCTTGTTGGTATCTTTCGAACTTGTCTTTTTCTTGGGATTGGCGCTGCTCGAATCCTTCGGGTTCGAAACTGCTCTGGCTTGTTGCCCCAGTCGGAGGTCTGGAGACGATGTCGTCTTTGAACGGGTGTACGGTTCGGATGACGTTGTGTGCTGATCGTTGTTCGAAGATTCGTTAGTAAATTCCATGGAGTTCGGACGCCTACGGACCTTACGAAATAGCTTCCGAAAGGTAGTTGGGGTGGTGCCGCTGCCGCTACTTATGCTAGAGGTGAGGGAAAGCCCAGGGCTTTGGTTGTTGGAGCTGCTTGGGCCTGTTTTACTATTGCTTTGGCTCGTCCCGCTGCTTCCCACACTACTTGCAATGCTGCTGGTGTGCGAAACACCGCTCGGTCGCTTTTCCTGTCTGGACCGTTGTGACAAGGGGACGCCGCCGACCCCTTTGCTGCTACGTGGCTGTTCCGCGTAGTCGTCGTCGAGTTCTTCGATGGAGAGATCCTTGATTGCGTCGCGAATATTTTTGCCCATTGCGCTGTCCAGTTCCATGCCTCGGCCCGGCATCGCGCTCGTCCGGCCAATGAAATCGTCGAGCTCGAGTTGTGCCAGATCAGCATATGCATTTCCAGTAAGCTGCGAACCGAGACCTTCGTCAAGCGTGTCCCGCAAAATGTTCGAAGCCGATTGGCGGCGACCCGTCGACGAGTGTGACTTCATCTTGTCCAATCCTTTGGCTTTGGAAAAATTGGTGCATCGCTGGAAACCGTTTGGATGGAGCTTGTGTATTTTCTCAATTCTTTCTCGAATGCCACTGTAGGGTGGGAACCATATGTCTTTCGACAAATCTGAATACAGGGCGTCGCTGCGCATGAGATCATCGTACACCTTTTTCCACCCAGGATCGCAAAGAATCCATTTCGGATTCAACGGAAACACGAAGCCTTCTGCGATCTTCTGGGACAAAATATCTTGTAGCTCCTTGACGTTGACATACTTCCAAGGAACAGGTTTAAGGGTATCGGAAATCAAGAGAAACGTCTCGTCGATTTCTTGGGGGAAGTGGTAGTTGAAACATTCCGATCCGTGGCGGACCGCGCCTGTGGACTTGAGTTTCAAAGCCGCGTGTTCCATGATAGATGTCGACTTTGGATCCCCAAAGCCGTATTCGGGAATATCGAACACTTTTCCTTGCTGTGCCGCCTTTTTCTGAACATCTAACCAGCGCTGCGTCCATGTATCGCTATTGGTGGGGTTCTTCTTTTGATCGTCCAATATCTCTTCGATGCGTTCGACGCACCACATCATCAGATTTTCTTGGTACCGAGGAAGACAGCATCCGAACCACAGAGCTTCCCGTCTCCATCCCAACAAAAAGCCGTCGAAATCAGAAACGACCGGTTTTATCGTCCCTTGTTCTTCGTAGGCCATGACCAAAAATCGGGGATCTAGGCAATCATCCAGTGGATGGTTGGTGTTTTGATTCTCGTCCTCGTCATCACTGCTTGCGACTACTTCTTCGTAGGATTTGTACTGCAACACGACGGGCATCGGGTTTGGTTTCGGTAGCTGGGTGTGGGCCACTTTGAGAGTTTTCAGGTTGGCGTCCTGAAACCCCGGAAGGGAAGGTCGGCCGGTTTCAGTTCCGGTTCCGGATCTCGAAATATCCGCATCCTGGACGGTTGCGAGCCAAAAGAGACGCTGGGTGCACTCGATTCCATAGAATCCGACCTTGGTATATTTCTTGAGTTTCTTGAGGGGCTTAGGGGGAACGTACTTCGACGAATTGGGATTCTTGTGGTCTGGAAGAGAAGGTTTCTTTTCTTTGCCTGTTCCTTCTTCTTGTTCTTGTTCGTTGTGTAGATCGTCGTCTTCGGTGATTTCGTCGATGGTGGAACAACGCATCGCGGTGCGTGCTTGCCGAAAGGCAACAACTTCGTCGGTAATGATTGGTTCGTCCATCAATTTTCCCACGGGAGACAGAGGAGGTACATTGCCTCCGTTCTTTTTGAGCGGCGGCCCCTCTTCTAGGTAGGTTTGGAGAACCCCCAGCACGTGATCCCGGAGTTTCTCGTCCTTGTAGTAGACACGCATCAATGCCTTGACCGGGATGGGTTGGATCTCGTTCTTGTGATCGTTGTCGAAGATCTGCATAAAGGGCACAAAGCCTGACAGTGTTCCCTTCTTGGCGGACTTCCCCTTAATGTCCAGACCTTTGCCGACACCGGCCCCCTCCATCATTTTCCGCATGGCATCATTCGAACACGGTCTCCAGACGGTCAGAATAGATGTAGCGTTGAAGATTCTCGACAGCAAGCTGAGAGTGGACGGCCGAATGTTCCGTGCGCTGGGCCGGCTCATCAGATGTGCGTTAACCTTGTATACATCTCTGTTGTTGCCGTTGTTTTTGTCTTTGGAAGTGCTGTTGGCGGGAGGAATTTTGCCAGAAGCAGGTGACGATTGGTTGGCGGACACAGGCGTGGTGGGCTCCTCGGTGGGTGATGCTTGTCGTTGCTGTGAAGTTACGCTGTTCCCTAGACTACCTGCGGCACCGCCGGTCGTGCTCGTCGTAGTCATCATCGCATACGAATGTTCTTCGATCTGATCGTCCGTAAGGTTGTCGGCACCTTCCGAAGCGACCAAGTTAAAAAACGTAAGAATCTTGTAACGAGGATCTAGGTGATAGAAACTAAGAATCCAGCTCTGGATCTTTTCTTTCAATTCTGGACGGAGCCGAGCATTCGTGTTCATTGTGGTCCCATTGACATTTTCATTTGCATTTGCACTTGCTTCTGTATCTGCATCGGCATCGCAGGTGCCATTTGTTGGATCTTTCGTTTCCTTTCCGTTTGGCACTTGTGTTTCTGTTTCTGCTTCTGCTTCTACAGGGATCGTTGAAGCAGCAGGAATGGCAGCAGGTGTGGCTGATAATTCCGCCATGTTTGCGTCTGTTTTCCCTTGCGTATAAGGGAATGTATTGCTGGTCGGGGTGTTTGATTCGTAGCGGGTAAGCAACTGTTCGCTTCGCTTCGGTTTTGTTTTGTTTTGATTTTCTTTTCTTTTTCACTTCACTTCGCTTCACTCGTTTGTCTCGAGTTTTTTCCTCCGACGACTTGGATTGCCTTTTTCCTTTTTCTCTTGAAAGATGAAATCGTTAACAAGGATATCCTACTGGCAAGAAAAACGATCAATCTGCTTGTAGGACTGATCTTCTCCCTCTATTTCTCTTTCTATATGCGTATGCGTATGCGCGTATGCGTATGTGCGTATGCGTGATGTGTTTCGGTCTCTGCTTGCTCGCTCTGAAATGGGTTTGCAGACGACAATCAGCATGCGATAATGCTTTTTCCGCTCCTTGCTCGTAATGAGGCGTGTTCGATCGTATTGTATCGTAGTAGTACTTCTAGTTTGTTACTGTATACTGCTACCACGGACTGCATAACAGAAACAAAAGCAAGGTACTGTTCTCGCAATCCAAGGATCCGTTGCGCGAAGTGCTCACTTTCCTTGCCGCCTCGATTCTGCTATTCGTCTTCCTGCAGCTACGAGTGTTGGTGCGGCACGATGTGATGCAACACTACAAGGTATGCTTATACTTCGGTACTTTGTAATATGGTAAAGTACGAGTACGTAACAGTAACCGGTACTCTCCGACGCAATTCTTCTTCTCTTGCGCAGAAAACAGAAACAGCAGAAGCAACAGACCCAGAAGCTAGATCCGGTATTCTGTTGCAGTGCGATGTGTGGTACAGAGGACTCGCTATCAGGAACAGACCCAGAGCGAACAACGACGCAATCAATACAGTACTCGTACTATTATTGCGTGATTTGTCGTGCCTTGGTGTGGTGACGATGTTGAATCAACAGCAACGGTATGGTAATGTATGGTATGGTATGGTACTTGTATGGTGTGCTGTGCTGTGCCGTGCTATACTCTGCTATGCTATGCTTTGCTATGCTGTGGTTTAGTGTAGTGTCGCGAAGTCTACGGTAGTCTTTTGTAGTCTGGTTCGCTGTGGTACGGTATGATAATAGGTTGTCCTCAGATTACCGTACGAGTACCGGTACTAGGTACCGTAAGATGAGACGACGTGAGATGATTCAATGAACATGAATCTCCATAAAGGTGCAGCAGATGTTGTTTTGTACCGGTCCCCGTAGTACAAGTACGAGAACGAACACGGGCAGGGGGTACAAGTACTGTACTTACTACTCGTACTCGATCGGGCCTTTTGTTTCTACCGGTATGATATGAGGAGCTCTATCGCCCCACCGCTACCTACCGGTACCCCGACACTTGGTACCGTACGTACGGGACCCTGCCTGCGGTACCCTTGCTCGCGAACCCACTTACAGTACTGAATATGCAATAAGTAACATCATCATCGTCGTACTCGACTCGTACCGGTAAGTTAATGACACTTTCCAGTACAGTACATACGGTGCGTACTCGTACCCGTCCTTTGCTTTCATTCGACGCATTCCACCAGTATTAATTATTTTCACTGGGGTATTTTATTTTCCACTGCTTAAGTAATTATTTTTTCATTTTAGTTTTTACAAATGCGCAACAGGTATGTACCGGTACTTGAACAGGTACTCGTATGCGTACGTACCGGTACATTACTAGAAGTATGCTATTGGTACGAATTACCTAACTCGTAACCGTTGAGCAGCTCAACATTTCCATGTACTCAGCGCGCGTAGTATTTTTTAGGTACATGATTTTGTTGAGCAGATCGCGCGTACAAACACTATTTATGTTTTGCTTAAGTACATGCACCTCAACTGGTTACAAAACCGCGCGGACTGAATTTTGTAACCAAACCCTTCCTTAAGGAGAGCCCATATTTTTACACGATACTACTGGTAGTCTGGTTACAAAAAAAAGGGTCTGGTTACAAAAACAGGCGCACTGGTTCCCTCGTGCGCGCTTGTAACCAGGAATTTGCACCTCAACAGGTACAAACTAAAAAACTGTCTTCACTACTGTGCATACGTAATAAGTAATTGTACACAGTATCTTGTACGAGGAGTACGAGTACTAAAAAAATGTGAGCAGTTGTCAAAAACTCATCTTGATTGCTATTTCAGTACAAACTCATGTAGAAAACACCGTAGAAATATTGATTTGCAGGGGGAAACTTCCGACAAAACCGTTCTTGTTCAAATGTTCAGAAAACAATAATTTGACGGTCGCTACGGTATATTTTTCCAACTCCAATTGCATGTTTTGAGCACAGGGTGGGTGCATGAGCGAAGGAACTTGATTTCAGTGCTGTGGCTTAAAACTTTTCCATCGTTAAAAACGAGATGAACTGGCTGGTCGAGCGACTGTTCGGCAGGATTCCCGCCACCCATTGAAATGCCGCAGAAAGTTCGTCATCGGTGCTAACGTCAAAGTAAAAGGAATTTTTCGTTATGTTGCCAATATCTTCCAGGACAAGTTCGTGCCCCTTTGGCGTTTCGTCTCCCATGCCGCCACTGTACGGGTCACCTTTTTCGACGCAACTCAGCTTCAGATCGATGATCAATACGTGAATTTGGTACGTCCGTTCTTGGTTCAATCGTACGATTTTGTCGTGTAACGAAATCATTCCTTGCTCGTTTTGGTGAGTATGTCCACTCGTAACCCATATAATATACGAGTCGTTCTGTAGGGACACTGATGATTCAATCAGCATTTGCAACGCGATTGGGAAAGAAGAATCTACTGCTGGAGTTCCATGGTTGTAATCGCCAGAATCAGGCGTTGTATCGGAATGCGCAACCCTGGAACTCTTCATTGAGGTAGCGACATCGAGGGATGCGCGCTGCCGACCTTCGTTGTCTTCCTTCCGTCCGATCTCTACAGTCTGGGAGTTGCCGATATTGTTCGCCAGGATACCGATTTGATCGTCTGCTTGAAAGAAATTATCGTACAACTGGAGGCATTGGCTGTTCAGTTCGTCAAGTAATGTTCCTCTACCATCAGTGTTATCCTTTGTCATAAATTGCGACGGACAAAGTTCAAAGACAAATACTGCATTCTTCCCCATGTCCAAGGATTCCTTTTTGCAAGATTTTACAATCGCCCGTAGATCAAGGCGGGTGCGCTCGATTGATCTCTTCGAAAAGTATGTATTATGATCTTCGTCACCCTCTTCCATCACAACCAATAGTGCTTCGGCGGCACGCACAAAAGCAGATTCTAGAAGATAATCGTCTTCTACAAGCATTCGCATTCCAGTCTTCGCAGCTCGCAATGTATCTCCGCTATTCATTGCGAGCAAGATCTCGAGACTCTCGAGTTGTTGTTGCCGTCCATTGCAATTAATCTCATGAAATAAGGGGCAGTTCTTTCCACGCGATGTTACCTCGATGGCCGCCCTCATCAAATGGCTTGCTTCGTCCAGAAGCACCTGTGCGTCCCAAATCTCTCGCAATCCTACGTCGTCATAAAAGGCTGCAAGGCAATCTATGCGTCTAATAAGACGGCTAAAGTATGAAGATGCGTTAGCAAAAAGCTCTTTTTTCTCCAACAGACGATCACGAATATCGTAGTGAAGATTCCGCGAGAAGGTGATATCGTCGTATCCGCGTTGCCTTGAGTCTCCAGGTGCACAGTGGTATCCATCAATGAAAAGGAAATACAGACCGCGATTGAAACGCCTATCTGCGAGCTGGATGGCGTAATCTAATTTTGAGTCTTCTCCAGATTCGTCGAAGTCTTGCTGACTGTACTCCGTAGCTTCATTGTAAAGAGCTAATGTTTGTTTGACGTAGCAGGGCCTTGATGCGACACAGCAATTGACACCGTCGATGCGTTCGAATTGAATGGCGAACAGAGTATTCGCTAGATTATTGCACGTAACACCTATAGCCTTGCGATCATTGATCTTTCGATACAGGCCCAGGGCATCGTTCACAAAGTGATGCGCCACGTCTAGTTTTCCCGAAAAGAAGGAAGTATTCGAAACCTTGACTATTTTGTTGAGTTTTGCAAAGGTGTTGTAAACGCCTTGCACCTCGCTGCATCCGCCTTCCAGAGGAGGTCTAGGAAAAAGATTAAAAAAATATGCCGAATGAATATTTCGATGAAGCACGAATTCTGAAAAACAGACGAGTCGAGTTCACTCAAGTCATAAGGCTCTGTCGGAATAGACACACTTACATACTATCATATTCCCCTTTTTTGGTACTCCGAACGATGGCTGACAACTTAATCATGGGAAAAGCAATATGAATAGCAGAGATGGCAGAAACTATGACGAAAATCACCGTAGATGACGCGATTATAGCAACAAAAATATCTGGGAAAATCAAGGAGTATTGAAATCAGGGTGAGAAAAATCAATGGGTTTACTGAGCAAAAAAAAGCGTTTCCCAAAAATTCAAACTTACACTCTTGGTTCGCGAGGTCTTGGTTGACTTCATCTTCCACGCCGTCGTAAGGTCGTTTAATCTCATCACAAGGTTTCCCAGAACCTACTGAGTATATCAAGTGTTCAGTGATTTTTCGACCCGACGCAAAGTCATCAGGTTCTAAACCAAGAGGCAGTTGTATTTTTACCGGTGCGTAGTAGAGACATATTTCTACCTCTGAACCGTCTTCCTGGGCGAGAAAAAACTCCGAGTTTCCTCTCTCGCCCGCCTTAATCAGTGGCAATATTTCTCCCTTGAAATAGTCACGATTAACATCATTCAATTCATTCTTGAAGATCAAGTCCTCGATCTTTGCCGGTTCAAACATTTCTTCGCTTTCGGAAAAATACACAACATTACTGCCTAAGACGTCGTCGTGAGGTGTAATCATAAATGTAAACGAACTTTCATCATCAAGCCGTTTTAATACGTATTCATAGTCGAGACGAAAGTCCAACGCAACTTGTCCAACATACTCTCCCGTTCTGGGATTAGTAATCGGTGATGTGATGGTTTGTGCGACTTGGTTGCGCAACGGGAGTTTGTATGGGGATGTGACGTGAGCATGAACAGCGTCTCGAAGATAACGGTCGCGACCCTGGACATACCAGTCTTGGCATCGAGGATCGTAACCGTGTTTTCCATTGGCACACAATTTATCGTCAGTCAAGGATGCTCCGTTCTCGTATGTGGAAACAAAGTGTGCATTAGATGAGTGCCAATCATCACAACCAGACCATCCAAGTAAAAGCCCATCGACTGCAAAAGCGAGGTAACCACCAAATAATGTCCTCTCCGTGTGTATCCCGCTTGGAAAGTTGTGAAGGGGAAAGTTCATAACAGCGCTTGCTGACGAAACAGCCACACGGTTGTATAAAGTATCGTATCCAGACGTGCGAGAGGGCCCGATCTCAGAACCTGGTAACTCGGTGACATTCTTCCACCATAAAGTACTCTCGGACGATGTGGGGACACTGGGTGAAGAAATGCGTTCTCCAGTAATTGGGTTCGAATCTAGTTTTTGCGCTTCAAACCACTGGCGTTGGAGGTACCTTGCATCGGTAAAGCCCTCAGTACTCTCGCATTGGCCACCTGTCGCATTCCATCCATACTCCCAATCGCATGAACATAGCTTGGCATTTGGACATTCCCCTTTTGGGTATGTCTTGCACCGTTCGGATGTCGAATCTACGTCAACTATGTTAGAAGATTTACGTACTCCACCAAAGATCAGCCAATTCGTTGTGCGGGCCAATAGATATATGTCCCGAGCAGGTCCCTCGATTAAGTTTTCCATTGTCGCCGCTTTCCGATCGACAATCAGTTTCATAGCACTTATCTCGATGTTATTTGAACCTTGTTTTGCACTTTGTTTCCATCTCTTCGGAAGAGTTACCAGTATACTGCTGCTAACAATTGATCCAATGATACAACTCGTGAAAAAAACTGGTAGAGCCTGCAAACAGAGGAGTAGTGATATAAGTGAGAAACTTTGAAATTGCAATGATAGAGATATTCGAACATCTATGAACTCACCATAAGCACAACAATCCACCAAAAGAATTTAGAACTACACGCTGTTTTTATCCTTCCAAATGATCCATCTCTGTATTCGAGAATAGGCCTCGGGTCCAACCTTGGTGTACCTAAGTTTGACGTCACATTGACTTTTGACGGTGCGGGAACAACCACTTGCGCCGCTCCCGGTGGTGGTCCAGGAAGATAAATATCTAAAGACGAACTGGAGACGATGCTATCCTCGTTTTTCTCCCCATCTTCAGGGATATACTGCTGGCTTCCAATATCGCGTATAATATCAGAGGGTGGGGCGAGATGTTCGTGCAGCGATTTTGAAGGAAAAGAGCTAGAACTCGACTCTGATTGACTGTTACGAGAGAGACAGGGGGTAATGGCCTCGCAATCTTGTATGTGATAATGAGATGCATCTGAAATAGAGATACTACTGTTGGAAGTCGAACCCATAGTTGTTGCACGGGTTGAATTGGAAACTTTCCTTTCGGTCTTGGAGATGTCTTCCTGGTTGCATTCATACAACTTAGCAAAATCGGAATGCCATGTCAAATAGTTTCGAATTTCGCATAGACCCGGTTCTGCTACTTCCGAAACACCATCCCCAGAAAAGCCATGAAGCATTGATTGAAATGCTTCAAGGAGCTGTTGAAGCTCGGTGCTTAGAGTACAACATAGACGTTTATCGGCTTTCGGATTATAGTCGAAATTCACAAATCCCACTTCATCATCATCATTGCATTCCGAATTGTCTGCTTCCAGATCCAGATTCAAAATAAGCTGATTGCCTTTGGAGGTAGTATGCACGGGATCATTGTTGCAATTCACAATGGCACCTTCATAGTCCATCCTGCTGGTGCTAGACATATTTGGATTCTTTTTTACGGACTCTCTCCTCATATCAACCTCAAGCATATGGTTTCTGTCACCACTTTCATAATTTTCACCATATGTCTTACTGCTACGACTGTCGTTGTTGATGATATTGCGAGCCACATATGCAATCCATGTTAGGGGCTGTGTAAGGATCTTCGACATGACTGCTAGTATCGACAAAATCAGCACTAATCCGAGGACACCCAATGAAACACAGAGAATAATATTTTTCTTCACGTCCTGTTTCACTTGGTTTTCAAAGATATTAAAATCTTCGAAGACATCTGGACTAATCTTTTGGACGACAAATGCAATTGGGCTGTACAGAGGATCGTCCCAAGGATATTCGGGGGTTGGTGGGACGGGACAAGAGACTAGAAATCCACCATTTTCAGTAGGCGTGAAATACGTCGTAGGGATACGCTCCGGCTTTGGCGTTGACCCTTGATTGTCTCTCCATTCCTCCCACTTGGGGATTTGATCAATGTATGTGCGTTTGAAATGATCCTCAATCTTGTCGAAGTCCGATTGACGCTCAAAAACTTTTTGTTCTGCACCCGGTGTTGTCCCGATGATAAGGCCACTTGGATGCACCGAATATCCATCAGAAGCATCGTCCAGAATTCTTCGCTGTAAGTCTTGCGAAAGTTTATTTTCCGATATTTCCAGAGATAAAACCCCGACAAATTCATTTGTTCTTTTGGCAGTGTCCAGGAAATGCATAAGAGTTGAAAACAGAATGCCATTTCACAACTGAGTTGAAAAGGAGACAAAATCTATCGGAATCATTCAAGCACCATGAATTACTTACACTCGATCGAAAATTGCTTTTTGAGCTTTTAAAATTTGCGTTTTGTTGTCCTTCGACGTCAATTGTGGTCCAGTCCAAAAGATTAGTTTGTCGGTAACTTTGTCCCTTTTAACTTTTTGGTGATTGTTTGGTGGGACCGACGTGTATCCATTCTCTGTGTAACCCTCAGTGCTGCCGTTCCGGTGACTCGTATTGTTGTCGTTGTTTCCATCGTCCTCGATTGCGTCTTGTGGTTGCCGTTGCCAGGGCTCCTGCTGGTCCGCCTGCGCAAATTTTGCACTGGTATAATTCATCAATTTTTTGATATCTATATCATCCATCGGATGCCGCTCTCGCGATCGTAGTACTGTGCCTGGTGGTTCACATGGTGATTTTGTAGCGTAAGGTTTGCCAGTGTAGGGATTTCGTAGTTCGGTCATCCAGTCACACCCCTCGGTGATATATGTATCGGAATCCGGAAAAGAAGAATTGTGCACGACTAAAGATGGAAATTGCAGTGTTGATCCTTTTCCCTCATTGAAAAAAAATATTTCTACAACCATTAACTCATCAAAAGTCTCGAATAATGCTTTCAGAAAGACTGATAAATCCCCAGTCGTCTGATATATTGCATCGTCTCGAAGCATCTCCATTGTTTCATTCATCGACATTGGAGGTGTAATTCCCCCCTTCCAGAATTTTCCTGGCAGCTTATAGGACGCTGTTTTTGTGCTTGATAACACGTTGGGGTGTTCTTTGAGTCTCATGTCTATTGATTGATCGTCGTTTTCGATTCCATCCGCATGAAGATCTCTCAATACTTGAAAGTCAAGTGGCACCGGTGGTTGATTCAGAGGATAAAATCTTTTCTTTTTCCTCTCTCCCTCCGATTCTTCCACCTCGGATTCAAACGGAGTATATCTCCCGGTTTCCCAACCATCCATAGACGGGTAGCCAGCGACTCGGTCCCGGATGGATTCGATTAAGATTTCTATGCATTCCTCGACGAAGCCTGCCCGTCCGGACAAACTCAACAATATGACACTCGAAGAAAGTCGGTTCTCCACCTGTTCGTACATCAAGAGTTGGGATCTGTCAATAAGTTTCTCTCCGGAGTAATACACCGCAAAGCAGGAGGAAAAGACTACAACGAAAAGAGAGCAAAAGGCAGCCAACCCAAAGGAGGAAAAAAGTTGTACTTTCAGACTCCTTTTGTTTGTGGGCGTTCTCCAAAAATCACAGACGTTAATAGAACAAGCCATGTCTCGTAACCAGCTCATATTTTTCTTCTGACCAACCTCTTTTGTATTAATCAAAATGATCGGTATGTTTCGATGAATTATAAAGGGTGTCTCCGTCTTCGTGCCTGCGAAAATGTTGCGATGCCCTGCGGCTTGAAACTGCTGTCAAACGGATCAAAAAAGTTATTGTTGTTTGCTTATTCTTTGGCTTTCTAGTCGGGAATCGTTGGCGCAAACAGCAAATGCAAATCTGAGCAGACCACGAGGAATAGACAGAAAGAAAGCATGCAGCAATGCGATCGCTTCCTCAGCAATATCGTCGACCTGTAATGTACTGAACCCTAAATTGAGCGCCTTTTCGGATTCTTCCACTTCTTGGTGAGCCACACGTAGGCTGCTATTTCTCTGGCAGACATAAAAATACTTTGCAGTATCAATTGAGATGGGTCGTTTTCTATTTGAATGTAGTATCAGCAGCAGAAGATGTTGAAGCATGCGAAAGCATGCCTCGAGAAATTCCTACTGAGCGGTAGGTGATAACTACGAGTAAACTATCTGGCAGTTCAAAAAATCAAGTGAAGACCTACGGTGCTTTCTGTACGGTACAGTACAGTAAGTTCGCACTATGAAATATGTCGCAGAGCATTGTACATTTCATATCTTAGAAGTACGAGTACTGTATTACTGTGCATGAAGGCATAAATCATAATCTGATAGGGGGGTTTATTATGAATAAATAAGCGTGGAAGCATAATAGTTGAGGTTCAAATCCAAATATGCGAGCTTTGTTCTAATAATTTCTTCTGAATTGCATTTGTCTCTGCGACCATGAACTTTCTTTCAATCTGCAATACTATGCGAGGAAAATGCAAATTTGCATTCAAGTACAAATTAAGTCCCTTATGTGTTAAATGCATGGAATAGTAAGAAACTGCACAATCTACTGTACAAATTTCATTGAGGTGTAAAATAGCAACTTCACACCTGGAGAGGACCMAAAAGGGGCCTTTTTTTAAACATTTTTGGCGCTGCCCATGATTTGAACATGTATCCATTCATTTAAGAACAGTAATCATATTGTATGCAGGATTGCTAAAAAATGACCATTCATACTAATCATGTTCTAGTAGTAGTAAGAAGAAAGCTGTGGACTACTACTAGTAGTAGTACTATAGTAGTACTTGTATCGCGTGATTGATAAAATTTTATTGAAAGATGAATAAGATTTTGTTAGTATGAGCTTAATAAAATGTTAATAAAATGTTATTAAAATTTTTTTGGGCATTTCCTCTACTACTAGTACGCAGCATAACATTATCTACTGGAGAGGGCCCGAACTGATTTTTTTTAGTTTTTGTGTGAAGTGTGCAAGTATTCTGTCATTATAACGCTTAATACTCTAGTAGAATGGTTCTTCAGTAGATGGGTTATCAAAAATCTGTTATGTGGAGGTTTGCTATAGGATATTTTTATTATTGGCGAAACATGTTCTTTAGTAGTATTGATGGACGAGTAATAAAATAATTTTATTTATGTAATAATTAAATTTTATTATTGCGTTCTTAAAATTTGATTATGCAGGACATTAACCCTATACCACATCATTAACAAAGTTTTATTATGAGCTTCATACAATTTTATTAACAGTGACTTGTGATTGATTTTAAAAAAATAGTAGCGCCATAACAAGAAATAGAAAAATACTATGCCCAAAAATAGAATGCATACTTCACAGTAGATTTTGTCTGCTATGTGAACAGATAGCCATTGAAAATGTATGGAGTGTGCATGGCCAGAGAGGACTAGCTAGTAGCACCAAAACAGAAATTCTAGGGATATGTCTAGTAAGTGAATCCAAGTGAAAATATTTTCCAGGATGGAGGTCAACTCTATCCACTGGAACTCTTTCAGTCACAAAGAACCCTGGGAGTCTACCCTGCACCTTCTCTGCAAAAATATGAGCTGCTGACTTTACACTGTCTGTATCAGTTGTCAAGGACTCCTGTTTTGCAATAGAGGCAATCAATCTTGCTGATGCTTGACACAATTTCTACAAGTCTTCAATGGTGTCCAGCCTATTGAGTGTTGACATTTGACTCATGTCTCTATCAACCCACACTTGTGCTGATAGCTCTTCTGGGACCTCTGCAGCATCAGCTGGCACATGGGAATGCAATTGCAGAACCCTCCTGTAATGAGAATAGATAATGTTGTTGTCATACCACTCAAAGAAAGTGCACATGCCCTCATTATTTCTCAACAAAACAATGTACCCAACTTCCAAACTTCTTCCATCAATGTCAGAATTCATACATATGTATGGAACTTCAATAACAATGGATGGTTTCTCTTGCATCTCATTTTCTCTCAAACCGTTGAAGATAGCAACCATGGGAACATATAGCCAGATGCAGGGGCTCCTTCACACCACTTGACAGATAAACCATTGTACTTCATTTCTTCTTGGTTCAACCTCATGGACTTCTTGTTTCTGGCTCCTCTGGATTGTTTTACAGATGAAACTCTTTCCAATCTTGGTGATGCTTGACACCATTCTAAATTCCTTCTTGCAACATCCAGATTCTTGATTGCCTCATCATTCCTCCTCTTTGAGACTTCACTGGTGATGATGGGTTGTGATCTTCCGAAGACCAAAGCCTGACCTGTCAATCATCACAATACCAGTTCCAATGAATAACTTACTACTAGTAGGAGTGAATCAAAGTAATCCTCAGATGTGCTTTCTCTAGTATACATCTCTGCAGTACACTCAAGAAGTGTACCTAGGACAAGCTTTTGTAGAGTTGGGTTGCCAAGAAAAGGATCATTGCTTGTCTACATCACTTCATAAACATCTGGGTATCCATCAACACCACTAGCTAGTAGTGAAGCCACTGGCAACAAATTGTCCAGATTGGAAGCATCGCTCAGATAATGGTATCAATGTTGATGCCTCACATCCCACTAGGTAATGGGTAGACTTTATCTACTCATATGTCCCCTGGTAGGTCAACCCGGAAGTCCTTTTGTGTAGAAGGGGTTTTCTTGGATGGAGATCAGTTGTACTACCACTAGTACAGCTACTAGTGCTACTGACTTGTTACTAGGCTTTTACAAAGACAACCAAATGAAGTCTATGCAACAAGTTGTATTCTTGGTGAGAAATGTCACTACTAGTAGTAGTACTACTAGCTAGTGGCAATAATTAGTAGGAGCAGTACTGCAAGTATGATCTTGCACTGAATCATATTGAATTCAATACTAGTATTACTACTACTACATTGAGAAGGCAGCAGCAATTCAATCATGGTTAGTAGAACAAGCAACCAAAGAGGAATACTATTCTTTACTACAAATATGACAATGATATTAATGGGAGCAGTAAAAAAATCACTTACAACATTGCCAAAAGAATATGCTTGAAAATCCTCTTCTACTAGAACACCAGCAAGTCACACAATTTTTTTAGAGGTCAGTGTTGTGCTGAAACTAATGAAGAAGGTGCTAGTACTAGTCCCACTAGTGAAAAGTTGCAGAACATTCATTTTGTAACCAGGTAATTGTTTCTGCTTTCTCTTTTAAGCTTTACAAAAAAAATCATATTCATCTGATTCATTACTTTGTCAAGAAAAAGAAGAGACCTTTAGTACTAGCACTACTACTAGTAGTAGGGGATGAAGATTGGTAATTGCTACAACAATTTCTTGTTAAACAAGACCTTAATGCAACCATGGACAATAAAGAGCAGTTCATATGTTTTTATCTATGGGTTGTAGTAGGCTAGAAAATCAAAAGTAATTCATTATGGTCAGCTACTGTAGATGCTTTGTTGCAATGCATTGCTGGGAGTGAGCTTTTCAGGCATACTAACACATGCAAATTGACACTTTGATTGTTCTTGTCATATATAAAGTCTAAAATAACTGTGGATAAATACTCTTGCTGGAACCACCCAGCCAAGTACCACCAGATTCATTTGTTATTGCACTTCACAATGCAGGTTCATTTGCCATTGGTCCTCCCTCTCCAGGTTACAGGGAACATCTCATCCAATATAGGAGGAATTTTTCAAACTACTATTACTATTACTATTACTATTACTATTACTATTACTATTACTATTACTATTACTATTACTATTACTATTACTATTACTATTACTATTATTACTATTACTATTACTATTACTATTACTATTACTATTACTATTACTATTACTATTACTATTACTATTACTATTAGTACTATTACTATTACTATTACTACTACTACTACTACTACTACTACTACTACTACTAGTAGTAGTACCACTATTAGCACTGTTACCGTATCAGGTAGGAGGCACTACTACCAATCAAAAGAAGTGGTAGCAACCTTACTTAGTATCTAAAGCAAATTTTCAAAAACAATTTTTATTATCTCTCCTTCTAGCAGTACTCCTGCTGTATCCACACAGTTTTTCACAAGGAGGATTCTGAAGGTAACTGTTGTTGATTATTAGTATCAAATAGATTTTTGGTGTATTTGTGTACTACATCTTCAGGGCAAAGAAACCTATTAGTAATAGAGTTCCTGTTAGTACTAGATTTTTGGTGCATTTGCATACTACATCAGCATCAGGGCAAAGAAGAAACCTAGTATAGTAATGGATTTCCTGTCAAAAGAATTGCTGCTGCCATATTCAGAAATCTTATGTAGCCATTGTTGAAGTACAGTTATTCCTCCCTCAATTACACTCAGGAATGCAGCCCTTTGTATGTCAGCATCTCACTCCATGCAGATGCATCTGGTACATTATTGTCACTCTCCTTTCACATACATTCTATGTCTAATCTCTCCACCTTCCTTGCTTGCAGCTCTTCAATTCCCACACACATCAACCAACCATACTACTGCAGCTGATATCCCCCACATAGCCATCATATTTAGAATGTGTGACTAAATTGTACTTTTTTTCTCCGCCCACTCTGCTATGATGCAGTAGTGAACACCATGATGCTTAGCAAGATTTATGACAATGATATTTGTTCTTTGACTTAATAGTATTGGTGCTGTTTGATGAAGGCATGAACCAGAAAGATCTTGATCCTATGGTTCCAGTACTACTACTATAAGAAAAGTGTCCTGCTTTCAAAGTTTAGTACTAGTACTAAAAAAAGCAGGCAATACTAGCGATATACTACTACTAAGAAGTGTAACCACAATGTCAGTTGAGGCCAGTCACAAGCCTCTTGGACTGGACCTATACACCAATATATGATATACTACTACATACAATACATGCATCCTCTTACTTGTTCACTACACGAGGACGAGGTACCACCAGGAGAGTACCAAGCATTCAGAGTATCTTTCTCATTGACATGCATCAAAAGATATGAGAACTCCCAAAACACCTGTAGGCCAAGTACAAGGATCTACAGGGAATAGGAACAAACCAAAGTACTCAGCATCCCCTCTAACATGGATTAGCACATCAAGAATCATGTGTTGACACTTTAGATATTGAGGGATCAGAAGGTTGTATTCATTTTTAGTAATACAGCACGTTAAAACCAATTCTGCACATTATTTTGTGCATGAAATGCAAACAACAAGAACAAGAAGGAGGAGGAACAATGGAAGGGTAAAATGTGAAGCAAGCATTGAAAGAATTTGAACACAAGAAGACACTGGAACAAGTCAACAAAGAGTAGTAGTAGTAGCTACTGGTAGTAGTAGTAGTAGTGCAAGCTGTTATCTATAGTACTAGTATTTGCAGACTGAATGAACAAGACTACAGTATTGGTGTTGAAAGCAAATATTACAAGTACTGTGTACTTCATCACTCATTCCTAGATGAATGATTTGGTGGTGAGTTCCTTTAAGACAGTGAGAGTTTGGAATCTAGTACTACTAGTACTACTAGTAGTGGTAGCTCTCATTACTGCATTCTGGGTTATTTCTATTTCTGACGGCTTTTCTAGCCGCTTGCGGATTGCCTCATGCAAGTTTTTCTAGCAGTTTCATCAAAAAACGCACCATTTGTTTCACAAAAGGTAGTATCTACTGCTCTGAAGCAACTACTAGTACGGTACCCAGTAGTATGTTTTTGGTTGTGAAAAATAGACAGTGTTTGATTGGTATGACCGCGCATGACAAAACAAGACAGGGCCACATTTTTACGAAGAAGAATTTGTGTGCAACAACCGCAAGACAATACAATCAAAACGGCGCTGCGAATGGAGACGAAGCAAAGATCGAGATCTGCTTCGATGGATTGTTGGATGAATTTTATCGCATGGGTGTGAATAACTTATTTCTTAGTACTGTACTACGTACATACCAACTCAACACAACGCCAGGAAGACTTTTGAGGCCGGCTTTCCTGCTCTCATCCACGAGCTCCTCCTGGCATTCCGCACTGCATACACATCACATCACATCACATCACATCACATCACNCACATCACATCACATCACATCACATCACATCACGTTCCGTTCCGTTCCGTTGCCTTCCGCTCCGGTTCGTTTTTGTTTCTTTCCCCGCATTTCGTTTCATGTCAAAGACGGGTAGATTGATAATTGATTCCGTGTCATGCCATGATATGGCATACGATTGCCGTTCCGACTGGCTGGCGAACCAACCAGTTTACCCGATCCTGTTTTGTGAAATCGGTGGGGCTAGTTTGCTTGGACCTCGTTGCCTCTACTGCAGTCCTCGTCCTTCTTTTCTTCTTCGAGGGAAAGATTTTTCTCGTTGCAATCGTTGTTGCAATGGCTGTTGTCGTCGTCCCGATCGTGGGAATCCGCCGTCTCGATCATCTTTCCCAGGAGGGAGACCCTTGCCGATCCCGAGGTCCTGACCGAGGGCGAGGCCACCGACGATAGGTCCCCCGTGCGGCTTGCGTTGAGGCTGCGGTTCGACATCGTAGATCGGTAGGAGGCCCACGCCAGAAGCTTCTCGGCGCTCTTGCGCACGTCCTCCTCCTCCTCCTCCTCTTCCCCATCGCCCCGATCGCTTTCGTATCGCGAGGGTGTGCGGATGCTGCTGCTGCTCTGCTGGATCTGGAGGTCCTCTCGGTGGCGTTCTTGGTCGCGTTGGCGTTCTTGTTCGCGTTCCAGGGTCTCGTCTTGCTGGTCCAGTTCTTCGATTTCCTCGGCCGTGAGCGACGAGGCGTCGTCCTTTTCGGCAATGTGCTGGTGGATGGAATCGTTGCGGCCTTCGTCTTCGCCTTCGTAATGGCCGTGTCCCTTGTCTTCGCAGAGCGCATTTTCGCGGGGCGTGCCAAAGGACCCGCGGAAGGACCCCTTGTTGTGGTTTTTGGGGGTGGGAAAGGCGTCGATCTGGTCGGGCGGCAGGAGCAACGGATTGTTGGCAGTGTCCTGGTCCATCAGAAACATCCTGAGGCGCCTGATTTCCTTCTTGGACTTTGCGAGCTCCTGCTTGAGGGCCTTGAGTTCCGAGACCTGCTCGAGAAACCGGCTCTCGAAGAAGTCTCGTTCTTCTTTCAGGCAAAACAGGTCGTTCTGGAGGTCCGTCCGCGTCTTGATTCCCGCGATCGGCATTGTGTGGAAGAGTCGCAGTCGTAGTTGCAGTTGTATTGAACCGTAAAATGCTGGTTGTAAACGTGGAAGTAGGTTTCAATACACCTTATTCCGAAACGCCGGGTGGAGATCGTTGCTTCGGCTCTGTGAGAGGCAATGGTCGATCACTGGCTCTTTCTGGTTGATGATACGAGCAAGGGTAAGAGTGCGAGTACGAGTAAGAGTACGGGTATTGTGCAGTGGTGTGTGGTCTCGTATGCTCTGGTTTCAGTGCATCAAGTAGAAGTATGTATTCTTACTTGCTTGTATTACATTACTGTAATGTATTACTGTATTCTGTTCTGTTTCTGTTTCTCTCTCTGTTCACGTTCATTTTCACAAACAAAAATCATGGCACGGGTAGGGGTAACCGTACCGTAAACCGTCCCGTACGGCTCTTACGACTGCCGGCTACGGTTGCCGGGTACTTGTACAGGTATTTGTACAGGTGCCGTCACGAAGGAAGTACGAGTAGTAGTTTTGCTTGCACTCTCTGTCGTGCCGTGAACGGAACGTTGGACTTGTGTCAGGTGCGTACCAATACCGTACGGCATCCTACTATCTGTGAGAGGAGCATACTAGTAGCACGAACAAAAGAGTCTACAGTATACGAGTACTTTGGTACGTACGAACTCGTACCGTACCGTACACCATACCGTACAGAGGTACCCCCTCCAGGAACAGTTGGTTTCTGTTCATTGGCAGCTCGATCGGCTCCTTTTCCGAGGCGTGACTGACACAAAAGCGAATATTCATCCATCGTGTATGAATGTTCATATAACGACGGGCGATCGGAGTATCCGTTCGGTGCAGAAATGCGTCGTGGTCCTGGCGAAGGACGGACGGGCGGACGGACGGACGCAGCCGGTCGGGGGTGGAAGGATCCTTCGACCGAGTCGGCCGAGTCAGTCGTTCGAGTCGATGGGACCACCGGCCTCGGAAGGGACGGTTTTTGTTGTTTTGGTTTTGGTTTTGTTTTGTCTCCGGCTCGTCTCGTCTCGGTCTCATCGTCATCTCGCCCTGCGCGCCAAGGATGGTTTGAGTTCTGACATCCTAGAATGGCTATAACGGCTCGGCATATATTGTCACTGCGCTCGTCGGGTCATTCCCAGACTGACCGACTCGTTTCGTTTTGTGTTGCGTCCTGGTCAACCATCATCATTGTTCGTGCAAGTACGGTACACGTTACACGTAACGTAGAATCTATGATACGAGTTAGTTGAGGGAACAAGTTCGTTGGAGTTAGTCCATACGATACCATACGATACGGTATGGTACGATACGACCAGCTCCATGCGAGTACGTTTACGTACGTACTCGTACGTACGGTTTCCCTTTTTTCAAATTTCTTGCCATCTTTGGTGTCAACGTAGCAGTAACGGCTGCCCTGTAGCATAGCATGGAATAACATAGCATAGCAGGCACCGCTTCTGTTTCCCTCGCCTCACTCCCTGGCCTACTACTGTACCGTACTCGTACCGATGCGAGATCGCAAACTACAACTGCGATTACTTCTAACTCGTACTGGTGCTGTATGGAAGAGTGTCACCCAATCAGCGACTCGATAAGGAATGACACACGACAMACGACACACGACGTACAAACAACAACAACAACATCAACAAGTACAGCAGCAGCAACAACAACAGGCACCAATACATTGTGGAATACAGCACGAGTATCACTGCTAGTACGAGGACCAAGCTCCGTGCAAACTAGGAGCAGATCAGGTGCAGATCAGGTGCTTCTGTAGTGCAACCATTAGCTATATGCTGAATGCTATATGCTGATTGCTGAATGCTTTGCGTACCGAACACCGCTCTGTTGACACCGAAACGCAACCAGCCATCGATGGATCCGACAACCCACAAGACAAGCGCAGGCGTGCCAAACGAAGCCAAACAAAGCCGATCGAATCAAGCTCGCAGCAGCAGCAGCAACAGCAACAGCAGCAACACTCAGGTTTTTTCTATCATGGAGAAGAAAGCCATCGAAGATGCCATCGCCATGGCAATGTCTACGGCGGTCTCTTCGCCGATGTCATCCGAAGAATCCTCTGCCCAATCAGCACCAGCATCAGCGCCGATAGCAGCGCTAAGACCAACACCGATTGCGCAATCCTGCACCGAGGACACTGCAAGAAACGATGCAACCAGGACATTCGAGGGATCGGAGTTGGAATCTGAATTGGAATTGGAATCTAAATTGGAATTGGAATCCGAATCCGAATCAGCTGCGGCAGCATCGACAATCCAGGAGCAGCAACAAGAGGATTTCAAGCAACGCAATCGACAGCAACCACCATCGACGCACGCAACCGATGTCCACGGAATTCTCAGAAAGTCCTCGTATCGGAAACGAACGCAAACGAGCAACAATTTTGCTTTTCGATCGAACCTACCCCCTCACGTAGATACGAGGCATGGTGGAGAATTCGATGTCCTGGAGGACGAATACTGCGAGTACGGTTGTCGAAGGAGGAGGAGGAGCCCAACAGGCAATTTCAATGGTGCAGCCTCGTCCCTCTTCCGGACGACGCTCGATCGCACTATCAGCGACAAACACTTTCGTCGAAGGAACACCAGCACGGCGAACAATGAATCCGATTCGTCCTCCTCGGGTTCTCTCAACATGCTTTTCCTCAAATCCATGCTGGGTCTTGTAGTGGTCCTCCCGGTGGTCCTTCTCACCTTTCTCGGCCTGCCCTACCTACTCCTGGGATCCCTGGTGTGGACTCTCATCTTTGTTGCAAGGTGGTTTCGGACTTTTGTCGAGGAGGAATTCTTGTTTTCCTCGAGAAAAAACGGCATGGACAACAGTGCGAGCCGTGGGGGTGGAACCACCCCAAGCCTTCTTGCCACCGCCACACGAACCACCGACAGGAACAGGAACAGGAACAGCAACAGGAACAGGAACAGGAACAGGAACAGGAACAGCAACAGCAACAGCAACAGGAACAGGAACAGCAACAGGAACAGCAACAGCAACTACAGCAACAACTACAGACCGATACATCCCCCCTCGGTGGAGGCCCCATTTTTGGCATCCACCACGGAAAAAGCCACCAACCCGATGGGGATGCTCAACGATGCAATCATCCAGAGCAGCCCCCAAGCCAGAGTTCGATCGAAAAAGGTTCGATTCCAACCCGGAATCAAGTTCCCTGTCAAAAAATTGCTCCGGCAACCCGTGCCTCGAATCAACAAAAAGAAGAACACCAACTTGGCGCTGACTACAACCGCAAACAGCGGCAATGGAAACGGGGGGGCCACAAAAGAACAGCAACAGCATCAGCATCAGCATCAGCATCAGCATCAGCATCAGCATCAGCABCAACAGCAACAGCAACAGCAACAGCAGCATCAGCATCAGCAACAGCAACAGCAGCGTTCACTATTGATCAAAACACCACCGAGATTGCTTTCGATCGACCAGCAAGATGCCAAAAACAACCATGCTGTAGAGGGAGGCGCCACCAACTCGTTCCACAATTCCTACGCTTCGACCCTCACTAATACGTGGAACCTGGACAGCCTCGTGATTTTGAGGAACTACATGAATGATTCGCAACGAGACAACAACGCAAGCAAGAAAACGAACGCGAACGCCAACGCCAACGCGGAGGCAGACACGAACGTCGAAGCTGACGCTAACGTTCAACACAGCGAAGCATCATCGTCGTCCACAGAGAATCCTCCAGTGCACGTTCCAACCGATGACTCCTCCAAACACGATGGCAACAACGATTCCACTCCTTCCGAATCACTAGGAAGCAAGGCCAGCGTGGCAAACGAAGGCGAGGAGAAGGTTGATGATCAAATAGCCGAGGATTCAAAAACTTCGATGTACTGCAAAACAGATGAATCAACGCTAGAATCACAATCGGAGCTCGAATCAGAAAACCAATCCTCGGATGCTACTCCCACATGTCCTCAGCAGTCGTTTTCGTACTTCGACCAAGAAGTTGTCGAGGAAGAAGATGCCGTCTACGAAACCAGATACGGGCACCCAACGACGGTAATCGAACTGGACGGTGACGATGAGGACGATCGGTTCCATGTCGAAGATTTTGAGGAAGGGTTGTTCGCCGTTTCTCAGAACAAGAACACCAAACAAAAAAGGAGGGAACGCAGGGCATCCCACTATCGTCGAAGAAAGCCAAGGGATTCTCTCTGCTTTCTTGTCACCAAGGGCGCCAGTGCCAACGACAGTCGCCCTTGCGCCCCCGACTTTCCGGTCATTCCCGAGTGCCCCTCGGACGAGCAGGACTTTTTGCAACAAAAGATCAAGGAGAAATTTCGACAGGCAATCGTGGTGGAATCATCGTCACCAGGTGACAGCAAGACCGACAGAAACAGCGAATTCGATTCCTTACAGGATCGAGAGGTAGAAGAAGATCGTGCCTTTCGTCTTCCTCCGTGGAAGGAGGACAGCGGCAACCATGGAAATCACAAGGGTGTCAGCACCGAAACAGAGAGGATTGGCGACTGCGATCCCGAACACGGTGTCAGCGACGACTCAGCGACGATGTCGTCGTCATCCCTGATATCCGGAACCATTGGGATTGGTTCCATTGAGATTGGTTCGAACGAAGTGGTGCCAAAACCCGAACCGTGTGCATCACCGAGGCTCGGTTACGGTGATGGGACTCGTGAGGTGTTTAGACTTCCCAACTGGGAGGATGGTTCCAACAATATTGCCGGCACTGCGAGCAACTCTTACCAAGGATCTATTGATGATTGTGAAGACAGCCTTGCCGAAAACATAGCTCCATACGCGGTCTCCGGCCATCCTGTTGTCTCGGAACTACCAATTGGGCTGAAGGGCAAATCCAGCGAGGGGTACCCGTGCACGAGCACGAGCACCGGTCTCCACAGAACGCATGATGGTGTCGACGATCGTGATTGCACAGTAGTAGAACCGCCGGAACAAACTCCGAAGACTCCTAGTGACATTGTCACTCGGAACTCGCAACACGGCGGGGACAAGGAGCTGTTGCATCCGAGTGATCTTTCGCCTGCCAGGAACGAATGTGTGGAACACGACGACACTTATGTGAATGCTAAAACCATGCATCGACAAGGGAATGAAGGCGATTCGACCAACCACAAACCAATGAAGTGCAATATTGGACGCAACCATGGCGACGAGGAGAACGACATTCGGATCCAGAGGGTATCGATTCAACCTGTGGGTTTGCAATCTCGGCTGGAATCAATGGAAGAAGACGATCTCACGAGCAATTCGTCGAGTGCCATTGTAGAAAACAAGGAGAATGTCGTGGCGATGGAGGTGGACACCGCTTCGTCGGTCAAAGGGTCGGAAGAGAGCAGCGGAAATAGTCACAACAACTTGGCAGCCCCGCTTTTGCCACCGTTCCAGCGTTCTGTCCTAAGTCCATCCAGCACGCACTCGAATGTTAACGCGAACTAGTAATCTACTCGCATCAGCAGCCTGGTCTCAATGACAAATCGGAGCTAGCGAACAACGACTTCTCTTGCGGTACAAGTTTCGTAAAATTGACCAGTGTGATGGAATATCGTTGTCGCCTCGAATTGATTGCGGTGCCAATCGCAAGTTAGGAATGTAGTACTGGCAGTCGGATCTTGTTGATGCTATGGAGCTAGGAAACTACAGTAACAGTATAATCCCATTTGTTCCAACGCCAACCAGAACAATAATGTTGGTCCTTATTAATAATTATCACAGTATGTACCTGTTGTAATGGCGATATCGACCGTAGTGAAATTTGATTGGAACATTGTTATGCTTTGACGTAGTGATTCGTTTTCATAAAGGTATCCAGATCCGTAAAGCCAAAGGATTGTGGAGCCCGTGTAGTCCCCAGATCCTTGCCGCTGAGAGTCCCTCCCTCGACCAGGTACTCTTTTCCCATTTGCTTCTGGCACCAGAGAATCACGCGGTCCATTTTCGGTGTGGGCACTTCCACGAGTTCCGCAATCCCGCGGGTCACGATCAATCCCATCGGAACGTCCTCCGAAAAGTACCGGTAACCAAAATCGGGGAGATATTGTTTCTTTCCGCTTTCATCGTCGACAACAGGCCTCACCGGGTGCCTAAGGCCTTTGTAACCCTTGTTTGTGTGCAGCATGGTGTGGAGGTTAGACGTGTCCCCGATGTCATCGCCGTAGGAGCGAAGCATCCAGTCCCTCACGTGGTGAAGACTACGGAGGTCGAGTTCGGGGTACTTCTGAACGAGAACGCGCTTCAGCTCGAGAACCTCGTCTGAAATGGCCGCTAGCATCTCACCCGTGTACTCGTCGGCGCCCTCATAGAAGAGTGGCGCCTCGTCGAAGGGCTTGGTGACATCTCTGTCTCTGTAGTACCCGTACGAGATCGTAGGGTGCCAGATCGAGTTGATGTTCATCAGCGTCACTGCCAAAAAGTTGCACGCAGGTTTCATCACCGGAAGCCTTCCGACCAGGCTCTGCAAGACCTCTATGGCCATATGGGGTGGTTCCCCTCTCTTGGAAGCAACGACGGCGTCAACTTCTTTCTTGGTTCCTAGGATCTCAACTGATGTTCCGTATTCCAGGATGCGGCATGCCCACGGAAGGGTTTCCAGTGCAAAGACGGTCGAGGCGTCCACAAAAGCGTCTCCGAGGACATGCCTCGCCAGGAGATCAAACCCTCCCTCCCCAGGCATGGCGCCGACCATAATGCCCGGTTTGAGACACGTTTTCAGGGCTCTTAGATAGGACTCATGGGCAAATGAGGGGAGGGCTAGCACAACTAGTTTGGTGGTTTCATCGGCGACATCTTCTGCAGAAGAAGATATCCGAACGGGCCTCCCGTATGCATCGTCTCCGAGATCGTGGGTGCACCGAATGCCTTTCTCCGAAATCGCATCTTTTAGCCGTTCGGCTTCTCCCGGGTAAAGAGACAAGATGCAAACTTCGTGACGAGGCTGTGAAGCGATGAAACTAGTAAGAACATGGACGGCATTGCCTCCACCGCACAGCAGGATTTTCATTATTGAGTTGGGGTGACCTGAGTTGAAATACGTTGGTGTAAGTTACGTTGTGTTGCGTACTATTTTGAATTGTGAGAGTGTCCATGAGTCGTCTTATTGGATCCGATCGGTTAGCATTGTTGCATCCACCCACCAATTTACTCAGTCACCTCCCTGTGTTTAGGGAAACGGATGAAGGATTGGTTGACGATTCCTTCATTCTCTTCGCATCTTGCTGGATCAAGTAGTCGTGCAGATTACCTCTGGATCAGGTGTCCAGTGTATGGTACAAATCGAATTCGAATGTAAGAAAAACGAGATTCAATGCCCTGGCGAAGATTCTCCGTCGTGCACCAAGATCGATCGTTGCGTCAAGAACAATTCATCAAGTCACGGCTGTCTCAATGCGGTTTTCGATAGGGCGAAAACAAAGTGATGCTTTCCGTCTTGGTTGTCGATCCGAACCGAATACTCTTTGTCATAACGCTAGTTCAAGTTCGTGAACAGTCGTCCATCTCCATCGGTGTTCCATTGAAGTTCCCGCAGTGAAATTGTTTGTCGGTTATTTTTTACTCGTGCCATGGTGTTGTTCTCGTTATTTTCTTACTCACTTCGGAACCTCCGCACGATTTACGCACGTAAAAGCACTTTCTTAGTTCGCGCCATTTTGCTCACGATCTACTAGGGATACAGTAAGAGCGTAGGCGATACGGAGTCGCGGTGGAAAAAATGAAGTAGGTACGAAGAAGAAGTGACCACGAAAAAATACTACCATACTAGTCATACGTACGACCGTACTCTCAATCTAGATGAGTACAGATTACAGTTTACAGTTCCTGTTTTGTACGATACGTACGAGCATGAGTACGAGTACTACTATCTACTATGTCTACTATGTACATACCAGTACTTTTTATTTTTTCGTTCTGTGATATTTCTACTTGATTCGTAAGTGGACTACGATACCGTACGGTAATACTTTTCACTTTTCCATTGTTTAATCTTTTTCTCTGAGTCATAACTGGATGTGATTTTTAACGAAAAAGGGATGAGATTGTGAGTTGGTAGTGCGAATTACCGTACGATAGTACCAGTAAGGAACAGGAACAACTATTGCGACGAATCGTTCCTGTCCGGTAGGACTGCTGATGATTCGAAACATGATGATTTTCTGTTCGTTCGTACCCCGTGGCCCATCGCTCCAGGTGCTACGGAATACAGATTTGGGCAAATTCTATCACATCGCATCTTCCAGGGTAGATATGGTTGTATGGAGGTGGAATTATGAGACAACTGCATAAGCAGCAGTGAGGGACAAAACGATAAGAGAAACCGAAGAAACAAATGCTCTCTCCTATCCAACACTCGACATTTTTGATCCTATCCACGATTCTATATTTTCTGTCGGCGTTCCTGGTTCTTTCTTCTCGCCATCTGGTGTTTTCATTCTCGTCCACCCAGCGAATGCACAGCGGGAGCGACGGAAAAAACTCGCATCCACATCCGCAACTACTGTTTTCCTCGCCATCACCCATGTTGCTTTCGCAAATGCCCATCCCGGTGCGCGTTGAGCTCTTTCTCCCAAACCGCACCAACAAAAAGAAAAAGAAGCCACCAAACGGCGCGGTCCGCGCCAACAAAGATGATCGTGGCCTTGTCGACCGAATCAGGTTGTTCGAGGAGCACGGGATCACCTCGTTCAACATCGTCAACAAGGACAAGACCGACAAGGATTCCGTGGTCGAATGGATCGAGACGATCCGAAATGCGTCTCTCAAAGCATCAAATAGCACCGACGTTCATGTTTGTTCCCAGTTTTCACTTCTGCACAACAGGCCGCCCAAAACACGCAACCTCCGAGACCAGAGAAAGGAGCACTTGCTGGAAACGCTAAAGAAGGGGTATTTTGGAGCAGCAGACGAGATCCTTTTGGTGTCTGGTAGTGGGACCAAACCCTTGTCCTCATCGCCGTGCTCCGAAACTCCGTGGAACACGGCGGATGGAATCGATGCGGTGAACGATTATTATGAGAATAGAGGCGACAACGATGTTTGCCAAACGACGTTTCCGCACATATCCGTTTCCTACAATCCCTACCTTTCTGACCCGCACCTGCAAGACCAGGAGAACTCTCGACTCGAGCGCCAATTGGCTACAGGATGCCTCTCCAAGATTTATCTTCCATTCGGGACAGATCTGGACAGGCTCCGGACCGGCCTTGAATTTTGTGCGGATGCTATTCACACGGCCAAAAGGAAGCACCAGAGGGCAGGCGATGTTTCTTTGGTGGGTTCGTTTGTGTTGCCCACCCCCCGATGGATGGCCCACCAACGGAAGTTCTTTCGCTCATCCCAGAAACGTGTTATGCTGGATCCGAGATTTTTCAAAAGTGATGAAAACCAAGAACTGACTGCCATTGTAGTCCAAGTCATCAGAATGTATGAGAAGCATGGTTTTGGAGAACTGCTGTTGGAAGCCTCGCCCAGTGCCAATACTCTTTCCTGTACGAAAGATGATCTCTCGTTCTTGTTCGATATATTGAAGCGGGTTTCTGCCAGTCGCGACGATGGACTAGGGCCCAATCGCTGCAATGATAGCGAAAGAAGCAGCAGTATGGGTATGAACAATTTCAGAAACAACAGCAACGGTGTCGATTTCAGCAGCAATTCAAAAGGAACGAAAACGGGCGCAGAAAGTAGCCAATCGCCAGAAATTTTGAAGAAATCACTGCCCTCTTCACTACGGCAAGATTGGAGGTCACGGTCATCGTCTCCCTGCATTCTTCTCTTTGGATCTCACGATGTTCGGCTGCAGGACAACAAGGCATTGGAAGCAGCAGCGAGAAGCCACAAGAAATTGCTGCCGGTCTTTTTGTGGACAAAAGAAGAAAGGGATGGAGACCAATGGGGATGTCCTAGAAACACGGCGGTGGCGGTTTGCCTCGAGGAGGCACTGAAGAGCCTTCAGGACTCTCTCCAATCGTTTGGTCTTCCTCTCATTTATTGCAACTGTTGCGGCCCATCTCCACGCCACGACAGCAGGGAGGAGCAGCTGCATCAACAAGAGAATTCGCACGGCATTCGGGAACTCAAGCATGTCGTCGAGGCTGTTGGGGCCACCGCTGTGTATTGGAATAAGGACCCAACACCCGAAGGTCGGGACAGGGATGCCTATCGAAGAAGAATTCTGGAGCAACATCGTTTACCGCGACGAATCGATGTTTTTGAGGCACAGTCTTCCCTGCTTTATGACGTGAGCACCATCGAACTGCCGACCGGGTTTCGCGGAGGGCATTTTGGGACACTCATGCCCTTTCTGAATCACTGCAGGAAACAATTCGGGGTCCCCTCCCGTCCAACACCCTACTTCGAAACGTTTCGGATACTGGAAGAAAGCTCACCCCCTGAAGCCTTTGATACAATCTTTGACATGCACGGTAGCACGATGTCCACACATCTGCGCGATCTCAAAATAATAGACACCTTCAAACTCTCCCACAAGTGGGACCAACCTATTCGGGCACGATTCCCCATGAGCGAGAAGATAGCCCAGAGTACCGTGGACTCCTTTGTCCGCAACGGAATGAAACGATACGAAACCGATCGCAGCCGGGCTGATATCTCCGATGCCACCTCTCGGCTCTCCCCGCATCTCCGGATCGGGACAATGTCTCCGAACCAGCTCTACTGGCGGATCGAGGACAGTGAACTGCCCTACAAGGACACCAAAACACTCGGACGCCGCCTGATATGGAGGGATCTTGCCTATTTCCAGCTGCATTGCTTCCCGAGTATGAAAAAGAAGTGCATCCGGAGCCACTACGAAGCGATGGAGTGGGTCGAAACCATTGAGGAGGACCGCCGGTTTCGAGCCTGGAAGACCGGGACCACTGGGTATCCCATTGTGGATGCGGCGATGCGGGAACTATACGCCACTGGTTGGATGACCCAAAGCATCCGAATGGTGGCCGCCTCCTTTCTTACCGAGTACCTACGGATCAACTGGACCAAGGGAGCCGAATGGTTTCATCACACCCTGGTGGATGCCGACTCCGCCATCAACGCCATGATGTGGCAGAACGCGGGGCGGTCCGGGATCGACCAATGGAATTTTGTTTTATCCCCCACAACCGCCTCGCAAGATCCTACCGGTGCCTACACGAGGCGGTGGGTTCCGGAGCTCGCGGAGCTCCCCACCAACAGGCTGGTGCATTGCCCCTGGGAGGCAACGGAAGATTTGCTAGAGGAACACGGAGTCGTCCTGGGCGAGACGTATCCCCATCGCATCGTTGTCGATCTAAAGAAGGAGAGGAAGAAAAGCGTGGAGAACACCCTGGCGGTCCGCCGTGCGGCGCAGGACTACAACACCGATCGAGGTTACGACATGATCGACCTTCCGAACGGACAGAAGTCGATCGTCTTTACAAAGAAGGAATACCGGATCGACCGGAACGGAAACGTTCTTCCATCAAACAAAAGCAACGGCAACCGAAGAGCGTCCAATCGTATGGGAAATTCCAGGACAGGCGTGGTAAGACACAAGAAATCGAGTCGCAATCCGAAGAAAGCAAAGACTTCTACCTAGATACGAGAAAAGGAAAATTAGAGGGCGGTGTAGATTAATTGAATAAGTGAAGTCGTCATCCTCCTCTGCCATATTTTGTTCTCGCAGACAATACTTATTCAATACCGATGCATCAGCCGTGATGCAAAGGATCCCCAGCCTGCGTTTGGATTGACCATACATTTGTTTGACCTAGAGTTTTCAATACTATCTTTGGTACTCTCTCCCCGGATATATAGCTATTGATAGGATTTCTCATTCAGCTGTCCTATTGTATCCCTTCTAGTGTTAGGAATCTTTCTTGCATCGAAACTGGACAGGTCCGAGAAGTTTCTCTGGTCACCGGGAAGCTACTGGGAACCGGAAGTGAAAATAGCTGCTTTACTTCGTAGTGTAATAAAGAAGTGCCGTGATACGGCAATTGATTCTAGACCCAATTGGAAGTAATTACTGCAAACTAGAAAGCATCGGGTAGAAGGCTTTCCGGAGCAAAAGAAGTGATAATGTCTAGCCGTCATAAATGGCTCTGCCTTCTTGGGGGAGAATGGTTGTATCGGCTTTCATGGTTTGGGCGTTCTAGTCGTACCGTACCTTTTGCGCTTCCTCCGGTTGGCAACCTCTGTCGAGGCACAGAAATAGATAGCACGGTTACCGCTGTCGCTGTCGCTGCCTCTAATGCAGTTGTTGTTGGTCTTCTTCCTCTTTGTTGAGAAAGACAGTCGTACAAAGAAAGAACCCTTCGTCTACGTCTAAGAAGACTTTGCTTGCATTTCGCATCTATGTTTATTTGATTGCAAAAATCGAAGATACCCTCTCGGCATACGGCAGTGCCCTATTTTTGTTGTGAATTTCAATGCCAACAATTGGATCGTCCTCCTCTTCTTCTTCTTCTTCTTCTTCTTCTTCTTCTCTGTCGCTCGATGAACCATGCGGGAAGATGCTGTTGTTGTTGCTGTTACAAGAACATTGGTCCAGCATGAAAATTGATTTATGCGTTCGGCGTATCCCGTGGAAAGAAGCACTCGAAATGCCGCCGTCGTTCATGGCATTGGTGAGGGTTTGTTGTCTTTTTTCGGTACCAAAGACGGCAGGATCAAGGCTCTGAGAAACCCGTTTCAAGGGCAGGGGATGAAAGAGACTGCCGCTGCTTGCTAAGATGTCGCTAGTAGCGTGGAGTTGTTGTTGTTGTTGCTGCTGCTGCTTTTCATCCTCGTTTCCTGCCGTTGCGAGCCGTGTAATTTTATTCGGCCCCTCGTGGGTAACAGGCCATGCCACCGAAGGTCGGGATGGCGGATGGTGGGATAAAAGCGACAAAGATGATGATGTAAAATTGGTTGGCGAAATCGGGCCTTTTCTTTTGGTGGTCCACGTTGTTGGTTCGACAACTACGATTCTTCCCTGGACGATGAAGAAGGACGAGTGTACTGCACGAGAACCTTCTAGGGGATCGATTTGGATTTCCTCGACCAGTGGTGGCGATTGATCTCCTTGGTCTCTGGCTCCCGCGCTTCGTTCCGTGTCGTTTTCGGGACCGTCGTCGCTAGCAGCATCGTTGTGGGTAGCATCGCCGCCGTCGTTGTCGTTGTCGTTGTCGTTTTTGTCGTTGTCGCTTTCGTCGTCTTCATCAATCATGGGTTCTCGACAGGACGGGCATTCGTTTTCCCGCTTTTCTAGGAGCCATTGCAAGAGGCACGTTTCGTGAAAGACATGGGTGCAGCTACAGCCGTTCGGATCGGAACAGGGAGTGTAGGGCTTCTGGTTTCGAAACATGACCCTGTCGCCAACCTCGAATCCGTCCAAACAAATATKGCAGACGTATTCGTCGTCGTCGTCGTCGTCGTACCAGTTCTCGGATTCCAGTGGATATGTATCGGAAGTGTCCGTGCTTCTCTTGCTCCGAATCGCCATCGCCATCGCCATTGCCTCGGATGTTGGTGTTGGTGTTGGTGTTGATGTTGGTGTCGATTCATTGTTGCTGGTGACGATGCTGGCGCTGCCTCGGCTACCTTCACGGCTGCAGTCAGTTCCAACGGATGACTCTAGAACTCCAAGCTCGCACACCACGTATGCAACTTTTCCTCCTCTTTCTCCGCCTTGTGCTTGTGCTTTGCGCTTCTGTTTTCCGACGACGGTCATGGTCGAAAGGCGCCGATGGATGGCTGCGAGCCGCTCGGTGTGGCTGCACTCCTGCCGTTTGGCCCGGCGACGCTCGGCGGCCCAGATCCGTTCGGCCTGCTCCCGGATCTGCTCCCCCCGATGGTACCGGGCTCCGGCTCCTCGGCCACTGCAGCAGAGGGCGCAGAAAAGACACAGAAAGAGAACGGGCAGCGCCATGATCATCACGGGAGTCGTGTCGTTGTCGTTGTTGCTGTTAATGGTAATGTCGCTGTTAATGTCGCTGTTGCTGGTAAGGTTGCCGGTAATGTCGCTGATCATTCCAGAAAAGGCAGGATACTGGTTCTCGTGCGTGGGATTGGGGGCTGCTTTCGTGATATTGCTGAGATTGGCACCTTCGTCGCCATAAGCATCGGCCCAGTTGCTCCAGGAATGAACGATCTTTCCTTCCAGTTGGCGAGGGCGCTTGTTTTCGTCCTTGTCCTCGAAGAACGCTCTGCTTCCACGGATGCTTCCGCTTCGCGTGGCACGCCATGGTTCTTCCATCCTGCCCAGCGGTGTTCTAGGTTCTAGGTGATGGGTTCTAGGTGCTAGGTTCTAGGTGCTAGGTTCTAGGTTCTAGGATCTGGATTCCGCGTTCGGCGTTCTGCGTTCTGCCTTGTATGTGCCGCAACGCAGTGTCACACGCAGTGTTACGCAACCGTTTTTTTTCTGTTCGACTTCCATTCGCCATACTCCTCTTTGATGAGGTACGTACTCGTATTCGTTACAGTATTCCTTATTCGGCATTCGACTCCGCTTTCTTGTGCCCGAGTGTCATCGCACGTTCCTTCGTACCGTCTGCGGGATATGGGCGCCAACGAGACGTGTGGGTTCCAAGTCCCACATGGACGGTACCACTTGCACGACTCGGCAACAGATACTGTATTCCATATTCCTGTATCGTACAGAACCTTAAGGCAAAGAGTACGTACCATGTACGATACGATACTCGTATTTATCTCTGCACTCCCCTCCTTTCATCCGGGATCAACGGGAGGTGGGATTTCAATTTGCACTCGACACCAACCACTTCTGACACGACGTTGGGAGTGGTACTTACCAGTACGTGCCGTACTACGTTTGTTTCCACCGTTAACAAATCGTTTTGCGACACGATTGCGATCTGATTTTGAATTTTGACATGCTGAACCAAAGGGCGGTATGTACCGGCTGTTTGGTTTCACCATACAGCCTCTGTAACTAGTCCCCGCTTAGTTTCCCATGTCCCCTTAGTCTACTAGTATAGTCTGCGTTGGTGGGTTAAGCGGGTGTTAAGGTTGGGGTTGGGGTTGGGGTTGGGTTGGGGTTGGG